TAGAGCCTCTGCTGCGGCCGCAGTGGTATGTGCGCTGCGGGGAGATGGCCCAGGCTGCCAGTGCCGCTGTGACTCGGGGCGACCTCCACATCCTGCCTGAGGCCCATCAGCGCACGTGGCATGCCTGGATGGACAACATCCGGTGTGTAGGGCCCTCCATGTGGGAGGGGCTGGGCAAGGGCTGAGCAGGGCTTGGGCTTGGCTGATTTCCCCAGGCCCTCCCTGATTTCCCCACCCCCACATTTGCAGGGACTGGTGCATTTCCAGGCAGCTGTGGTGGGGCCATCGCATCCCAGCATACTTCATCACTGTCAACGACCCAGCCGTGCCCCCTGGGGAGGTGAGCAGAGGGCCAGAGCTGGATGCTGGGACACCTGGGGGAGTGGTGGGTTTATTGGGTCCTTGGTTGGGGGGAGGGGCAAGGTGAGGCAGAAGCAGACACACCCTCTTGGGTAACCACTGCACCTGTGGCAGGACCCTGATGGGCGGTACTGGGTGAGTGGACGCAACGAGGCAGAGGCCCTGGAGAAGGCGGCCAAGGAGTTCGGAGTGTCCCCTGACAAGATAAGTCTCCAGCAAGGCAAGGCAGGGCCTTGAGGGTTTGGAGGGAGTTGGGGGGGCAGAGCTCCACTCCCTCTGACCTCTGACCTTTGGCCTGTCTCAGATGAGGATGTATTGGATACCTGGTTCTCCTCTGGCCTCTTCCCCTTTTCCATCTTGGGCTGGCCCAACCAGGTGAGTTCCTAGGGCCAGGGCAGGGCGGGACAGGGAACTAGAGGGTAGATGTTGGTTTCCCTTCACACCCTGGTCTGCCCTCAGTCAGAAGACCTGAGTGTGTTCTACCCCGGGACGCTGCTGGAGACCGGTCATGACATCCTCTTCTTCTGGGTGGCCCGGATGGTCATGCTGGGCCTGAAGCTCACAGGCAGACTGCCCTTTAGAGAGGTGCGGAGACAGCCGAGACCCTCCCACAGCTCCCAGCCTCCTCTCCTGCCCTCCCATGCTGCAACGCGGGCCCCAAGTGACTGGGGCACGGAGTTGGCTGTGGGCCAGCCTGGCCTGAGGGCTGGTGGGGGTTGAAGTCCAGCCTGGGCCCTGCTCAGTGCTTCCTGTGCCCCAGCCCAGGGCTTTGTCTTCCCAGAGGAGGGAGTACTTCTGATTCACAGAAAGGCGCTGAATGAGCTCTTGGGGATGCTCAGTGGGGCTTGTGGTTCACAGTGGGGTAGACCAGACATAGCCTTGGCCAGGCACTGAGGCTGGGGATGAGGTGACCGCGTCTCACGGGTCCTGCAGGTCTACCTCCACGCCATCGTGCGAGATGCTCACGGCCGGAAGATGAGCAAGTCTCTAGGCAATGTCATCGATCCCCTGGATGTCATCCACGGAGTCTCCCTGCAGGTGGGCTGGGTGCTGGGCCAGCCAGGAAGGGCTGTGGGGCTGTGGCCGCAGCCACCTGACTGCTCCCCTTCCAACGTCAGGGCCTCCATGACCAGCTACTGAACAGCAACCTCGATCCCAGCGAGGTGGAGAAGGCCAAGGAAGGGCAGGTATGGAGGGTTGGACTGGGCTGAGCAGGAGCACAGCGTGGTTGGGGCTGGCTGAGGATGCTCCTCCCTCTGCCTCTTCCCTGTAGAAAGCTGACTTCCCAGCGGGGATTCCCGAGTGTGGCACCGATGCTCTCCGATTTGGATTATGCGCCTACACGTCCCAAGGTAAGGCCCCCAAATCTTTCCTTCCGGCTACTCCCTCCTTGTGTGCGGCCATCCCCTCCTCCACCCTGAGCCTCTGGTGGGCATGGGCTGGGAAGAGGATGATGAGGACTACATCTCACCCCTGACTAGGTCGTGACATCAACCTGGATGTGAACCGGATACTGGGTTACCGCCACTTCTGTAACAAGCTCTGGAATGCCACCAAGTTTGCCCTCCGTGGCCTTGGGAAGGATTTTGTGCCTTCACCCACCTCCCAGGTGAGGGCCTGATGGGCAGCAAAGCTAGCAGCACGCACACAGGCTGCACCCCTGTCTAGAGGGGCCTCCATGTAGCTGGGGGACAGATAGACACAGAGACAGTTAGAGCTCTAGAAAGCTCTGGAAAGCCCAGGGCATTGGGGGCTGGGGCTTGTCACTTCTCCCCAGATCCTGGCACATATGTGGTTACTTTGGACTTATCCGACTCTGGGTGAAGATTTGGCCATGACTCCTGCTCCCAAGGGTTATGGTACCCTCCCCTGGCACACTGGCTGATACACCCTCTCTCCCCAAGCCTGGAGGCCATGAGAGCCTGGTGGACCGCTGGATTCGCAGCCGCCTGACAGAGGCTGTGAGGCTCAGCAACCAAGGCTTCCAGGCCTACGACTTCCCGGCCGTCACCACTGCCCAGTACAGCTTCTGGCTCTATGAGCTCTGTGACGTCTACTTGGTGAGAAGGAGCAGAGTGGGGCAGGGGACGGCAGGGGCAGGTGGACAGCAGAGCCCTGGGCTCAGCTTTGCCAGAGTTGGCTTTGAGACCTAAGCCAACCCATCCCCTTCCAGTCCTCCTAGGCACAGCGAGGGCTCAAGGTTAGACCTCCAGCCTTGAGTTCTGTATTTCTCATTCCCTAGGAGTGCCTCAAACCTATACTGAATGGGGTGGACCCGGTGGCAGCCGAGTGTGCCCGCCAGACCCTGTACACCTGCCTGGATGTCGGCCTACGCCTGCTCTCGCCTTTCATGCCCTTCGTAACGGAGGAGCTGTTCCAGAGACTGCCCCGGAGGACGCCGCAAGCTCCCCCTAGCCTCTGCATTACCCCCTACCCGGAGCCCTCGGAGGTATGACCTGGCCTGGAGAGGGGGTCTGGCCTGCCCTCCAGGTCCCCTTACCCCCTCCTCCACCCCACAGTGCTCCTGGAAGGACTCTGAGGCAGAAGCCGCCCTCGAGCTGGCGCTAAGCATCACACGAGCCGTGCGCTCCCTTCGGGCCGACTACAACCTCACCCGGATCCGGCCTGACTGTGAGCCTCAGGCCCCCACGTCCACCCCATCCCATTGTGCCCTCAGCCTAGTCTGGGACCCAGTGTCCAGCAGTGGCTGCTTGGTTTCCTGTCTCCACGGAGCCAGGCCTCACCTTTCTCCCTCCCCTGCAGGTTTCCTGGAAGTGGCAGATGAGGCCACGGGTGCCCTGGCGTCGGCTGTGTCGGGCTATGTGCAGGCGCTGGCCAGTGCCGGTGTGGTGGCCGTCCTGGCCCTGGGGGCTCCCGCCCCGCAGGGTTGCGCTGTGGCCCTGGCCTCTGATCGTTGCTCCATCCACCTGCAGCTGCAGGGGCTGGTGGACCCCGAGCGGGAGCTGAGCAAGCTGCAAGCCAAGCGAGTTGAGGCGCAGCGGCAGGCCCAGCGTCTGCGGGAACGCCGTGCTGCCTCAGGCTACCCTGTCAAGGTGCCCCTTGAAGTCCAGGAGGCAGATGAGGCCAAGGTGTGTGGCGTGGGTGGGTGTTTCCACCATCCGCTTCCTTCATCAGAACCTTGGTCTGGGCTGGTCCGAGTGCCGTGGTGTTGACGACTAACTGATCACAGCCAGTCACAGAGTTCTTTGTTCCTTCTCCCGCTGGCCTTAAACACAAAACAGGCCAGCTCAGTGGCTCATACCTGTAATCCCAGAATTTTGGGAGGCTGAGGTGGGTGGGTCACTTGAGCCCAGGAGTTTGAGACCAGCCAACATGGTGAAATCCTATCTCTACAACAAAAATAGAAAAATTAGCCGGGCATAGTGGCACACGCCTGGGGTCCCAGCTACACGGGAGGCTGAGGTGGGTGGGTGGATTGCTTGAGCCCGAAAGGTCAAGGCTGCAGTGAGCCAATATCGTGCCACTGCACTCCAGCCTGGGCGACAGAAGACCCTGTCACACACACACACACACGAAAATGCAAAACAAAAACAAAAGCCAATCCTGGTCTGAAAGCTGGACTCTGCTCAACCCTGTGGAATCCACTGGGGAGCATGGAGCCCAGGCCTTTTGAGCAGGGGCCATGGAATGGCCTCTCCTTACACATGGGGAGTAGCTGTGGGCCGGTCACAGCCCAGGGTCACACAACAGGTCGGAGATAGAGGCCGACCTAGAACCAGGCATCCTGTCTCCCAGCCAGACCCTTCATTCCCCAGCCTGCTCCCCGAAATATGGAAACCTGCAGGCCTGGGGCTGGGCTTGGGATCCGCATGGCGTCAGGGAGCCCTGGGCCTCCCACCACTTACTTTCAAGCCTCCTGGGTTGACCCTGGAAAGCCAGTCTCATTTGTCCCCTGCCTCCTGGGTTCCGCCAGAGAGAGGCAGTGGAGTAAACTGCACAGACAGAGAAAACCAGTCATGGAGGCCAAGAGCTAGAAAGCCTTGAGTGGAAGTGGTTTGTCTCATGTGGTTCTCCCAAGAGCCTTGGGAGGGGGCAATATCATCTTCATCTGACAAATGAGGTGACCTTCCTGGGAGCCTGTGTTCTCCTACTCAGGTGGGGACCATGGATAGGGGGCATGTAGGCTCTGAGGTTCCTTTGTTCTTGGGGACTGACCACTCAGTGGAAAAAGGAAAGACCCAAGAGGTGGAAGTGGGGATGCTGGTGGGAACGGGTGGGGAGCCTGGCCAGCCAAGCACGTGCCTCCTCTGAGCCACTGACCCCCCATGGTCCTTGTTCATCTTTGCTCTGGGCATGTGGGTGTCCCTTTGCTTGGACCTGGTCCTCACCCCGCCCATACCCGGTTCCACTTCAGCTCCAACAGACGGAAGCAGAGCTCAGGAAGGTGGATGAGGCCATCGCCCTATTCCAGAAGATGCTGTGATCCACCACCCAGCTTCACCCCTCACCCCCAGCGGCTCACCACGGGGTGGCAGCAATAAAATATTTTCCCACAAAATCCTCTTGTTATCTGTGGTGGGCAGAGAGGGGAGCAGAGGGGCTGGGTTCCTGAATCCTTGGTGGCTGCAGGGTGGGAGTGAGGCCCTGGTCCTGGAGGGCAGAGGGGTGAGTATCTGGGTCTGTCCCTGGCACTGTGCCGGGTCTGAGTCATGCTGCTCGCTCCCTTCCTCCTCCCCAGCTCTCATTCACCTCCACACTGCAGCCAAGGGAGGCCCGCCCTGCTGTGGGCTGCTGTCTGTGGCCTTGGGCAGGCATGAGCAGGGGGGCCACGGGTTGCCCGTCCTTCCCCCACCCTGCTGAAGCCTCCCTCCCCCTTCACTGAGCCTTGGTTAATTATAACTCTGACCTAAGTGCCCTGTGACGTCGCGCCCAGGCCAGCCCTGCCCAGGAGACCCAGCAACCAGGTAGGGGAGGGCCCAAGAGGACTCAGGCTTCCTGGGCGTGGGGAGTGTTTCTGTGGCAGGGCCGGGGACTCATTCAGGGACTAGGGAGGGGCGCCTGGGGGAGGAGCCTTAGACGCGTCTCCTGGCAGGTGTGTATGTCCCTATTGGTCTGATGAGACCCTCAGGTTGTCTGGGTGACGGGGGGATAGGGCGGGGAAGCCAGGCTGGAGCAGACGCGACTTTTAAGGTAAAGCAGGTGCTCATGGAGACCAGCAGAGCCGGCCTGCCTTGGAATCGCGGCTGCTTCCTCCTCCCTTGAGAGTTTTCTGTCTCCCAGGTCCATGTCTCAGCCATGTTCCCCACGGAGGTGCCCCAATCCCACCCAGGCCCCTCAGCACTGCTTCTGCTGCAGCTGCTGCTGCCCCCGACATCTGCCTTCTTCCCCAACATCTGGAGCCTGCTGGCTGCCCCTGGCTCCATCACCCACCAAGACCTGACTGAGGAGGCAGCACTCAACGTCACCCTGCAGCTCTTCCTGGAGCAGCCGCCCCCAGGCCGCCCCCCTCTTCGTCTTGAGGACTTCCTGGTGAGCATCCTGGGTCCTGTCACACCCCTGCCAGATTCCCCCATTCCATCGGGCCTCTACTCCTTGAAGGTTCTGGTTGCCAAGAGAAGAGACACCTATGGCCCCACCCCTGCAGCAACAATACCCAGTAGTCTTGGTCCTGAAATTAGGAGTCTCCCTACTTAGAAAGGGCCAGGACTGGCTGGGCGCAGTGGCTTACGCCTATAATCCCAGCACTTTGGGAGGCCAAGGCAGGTGGATCACTAGGTCAAGAGATTGAGACCATCCTGGCCAATGTGGTGAAACCCCCTTCTCTACTAAAAATATAAAAATTAGCTGGGCATGGTGGCATGCACCCGTAGTCCCAGCTACTCGGGAGGCTGAGGCAGGAGAATCGCTTGAACCCAGGAGGTAGAAGTTGCAGTGAGCTGAGATTGCGCCGCTGTATTCCAGTGGCAACAGAGCAAGACTCTGTCTCAAAGAAAAAAAAGAAAGGTCCAGGACTTTACCTCCTTAATAGGGGTCAGGACCCTCATAGCCAGCCTTGAGTGTCGGTTGCTGAGATAAGGTGGGCAACGGTCAATCCAAGCCCCGTCCTCTGCTCTTCTCTGCAGGGTCGAACACTCCTTGCCGATGACCTCTTTGCTGCCTACTTCGGACCTGGGTCTCCTTCCCGACGGTTCCGAGCAGCCTTAGGTGAGGTGTCTCGTGCCAATGCAGCCCAGGACTTCCTACCAGCTTCCAAAAATGACCCCGACCTGCACTTTGATGCTGAGCGACTGGGTCAGGGACGTACGCGTCTGGTAGGGGCTCTGCGGGAGACCCTGGTAGCAGCCAGAGCCCTTGACCACACCCTGGCCCGCCAGCGCCTCGGGGCTGCGCTCCATGCCCTGCAGGTGAGAACAGTGTTGGGGGGATGGTCAGAGGGGTCTTCACTTCCAGTGTGCCTGTCTGGGATGGATCGTGTCCTATGGCGCCTTCCTGATCATGCTTCCTCCACTCTGGAGAGGGTGAGCACTGGCAAGCAGTGCCCCCAGGCTGTGTCTCAGTGCCCACTTCCAAGCTGGAAGTGCTCCCTGTGGGCACAGCAAGGAGGGCACTGTGGCTGGAGAGAAGTGAGGGTGAGAGAGGAAGGCTGCAAGGTCAGAGAGGTGAACAGAGTAGCACAAGCCCTAGGGCTCTGCAGGCCAAGAGGGGCCTTTGGTTAGACTCTGAGCTGGGAAGAGACACTGGGGCAATTTCCATCTGGGCAAAACTCTGGTCCAAGCAATGGAGAGAGGGCAGTGGGGGAGACCTGGGGTGTCTGGTGGGAGCAGCGGGGGTGGTGGGGGATTTTCTGGGTGGGAAACTCGAAGGAGTGGCATATTAGGGCTGGAGATGGTGACAAAGATCAGACTAGCGCCTCATTCCCCTTCTCCCATCCTCCGGACCAGGATTTCTACAGTCACAGCAATTGGGTGGAGCTGGGCGAGCAGCAGCCACACCCTCACCTCCTCTGGCCAAGGCAGGAGCTCCAAAACCTGGCACAAGGTACAGCTATGACCCTGGTGGTGATGTGGGAGCCCACAGGGCTACCTCCTCCGTTCACCCAGCCACTGTGTGACATCCTGAGTTCTCGGAAGGTGTGATGTTAATCTCCACAAGGACTGAGGTCCCCAATCCAAGCAATGCCTGACTCGGTTAAGCAGCTGCCCCAAGGTCACACAGGGAGGAATAGCGAGGATCACAGTCCCGTCGGAAGTGTGACTTCCTCCCCGCGCTGACTCACACAGGGCCTTCTCTCACAGTCCCCTCGTCCTCTTACCCGAAAACTGCCTCTTTTCCACAACAGGGCATAATCCCCACAGGATTGGTCCCTACATGCACTGTGGGGGATTTTTATTATTTATTTATTTTTGAGATGGAGTTTCGCTCTGTCACTCAGGCTGGAGTGCAGTGGTGAGATCTCAGCTCACTGCAACCTCTGCCTCCTGGGTTCAAGTGATTCTCCTGCCTCAGCCTCCCAAGTAGCTGGGATTACAGGCCTGCACCACCACACCTGGCTAATTTTGTATTTTTAGTGGAGATGAGGTTTCTCCATGTTGGTCAGTCTGGTCTCGAACTCTGGACCTCAGGTGATTCTCCTGCCTTGGCCTCCCAAAGTGCTGGGATTACAGGCATGAGCCACTGCGCCTGGCCTTCTTCTTATTTATGTATTTATTTACTTTTTAGAGATGAGGTCTCACTATGTTGCCCAGGCTGATCTTAAACTCCTGGACTCGAGCAATCCACCCGCCTCAGCCTCCCAAAGTGCTAGGATTACGGGCATGAGCCACCGCGTCGGGCCCGTGCTGTTTTCAAGCACAGCCCCAGTGTCAAACATTCATTCTGACTGTGGACCCATGACCCTAGGTTTCAGGGCTTTTGCCTCATCCCAGCTGGGAGGAAAAGCTGAAGAATTTTGGGTGGGTGGGGATAAAGGCTGGGAGTGGCAAAATCTTGGGTTCTAGCCCTGCCCTCTCTTCCCAGTGAGCGATCCTACCTGCTCTGATTGCGAGGAGTTGAGCTGCCCCGGGAATTGGCTGGGCTTCACCCTCCTCACCTCTGGCTACTTTGGAACTCATCCCCCCAAACCATCAGGTACCAGACAAGAAAGCTCCCCAAAAGTAATGGGAGAAAGCCACTCCCTGGCAGATCTCCGTCCTGTAGGCTTGCTTGCCTTTGCTATGGCATCTCCTCCTAGGAGGAGAGGATGCTGGGAACATGGTGGGTGGAGGAAAGTCCCCTGAGGAGGCTGTGGTGGGGTTGGGGGAGGGGAGCAGCTTCTTCCTCCACTGATAGGATTTCTCCCTTGCCATAGGCAGCTTTAGGGGACTGGCTGGAGGGATCAGGAGATCCACCATGTGCTGCGGTGATTGACCACCGTGCCCTAAGATTTACTCCAGAATTCCCCTCTACAAAGCATTATTATTATTATTTTGAGATGGTGTTTCACTCTTTTTGCCCAGACTCAGTGCAATGGAGTGATCTCGGCTCACTGCAACCTCTGCCTCCTGGGTTCAAGTGATTCTCTTGCCTCAGCCTCCCAAGTAGCTGGGATTACAGGCATATAGGACCATGCCTGGCTAATTTTGTATTTTTAGTAGACAGGGTTTCATCATGTTGGCCAGGCTGGTCTTGAACTCCTGACCTCAGGTCATCTGCTTGCCTTGGCCTCTCAAAGTGCTGGGATTACAGGTGTGAGCCACTGCACCTGGCCGTTATTTATTTATTTATTTTAGAATGAGTCTAGCTCTGTTGCCCAGGCTGGAGTGCAGTGGCACAATCTCAGCTCACTGCAACCTCCACCTCCAGGGTTCAAGTGATTCTCCTGCCTCAGCCTCCTAAGTACCTGGGATTACAAGCAGTCACCACCACACCCGGCTAATTTTTATATTTTTCGTAGAGACGGGGTTTCACCATGTTGGCCAGGCTGGTCTCCAGCTCCTGATCTCAGGTGATCTACCCGCCTCAGCCTCCCAGAGTGCCAAGATTACAGGCGTGAGCCACCATGCCCGGCCCCATCATTATTTCTTGCTGAACCCTTGCTGAGGGGTGAGAGGATCAGGCCAGGTCTGAAAGGGCCTCATTTCCTTAAGAGGCAGTGGGTTTTTGACCTCCACTATCCAGATCCCTTTCCCCAAACCAGGGAAATGTAGCCATGGAGGCCATTTTGACCGGAGCAGCTCCCAGCCACCACGGGGAGGCATCAACAAGGACAGCACATCCCCAGGCTTCTCTCCTCACCACATGCTGCACCTCCAGGCTGCAAAACTGGCCCTTCTAGCCTCCATCCAGGCCTTCAGCCTTCTGCGAAGCCGCCTAGGAGACAGAGACTTCTCCAGGTGAGCGGACTCCTGGGGATGGACCCCCCCATGTGAGAAACCAGATGCTGGGACAAACGTGCAGACCCGTCACCGTGTCTCTGGCCTGCTCCCCAGGCTGCTGGACATCACCCCAGCCTCCAGCCTGAGCTTCGTTCTGGACACCACAGGCAGCATGGGTGAGGAGATCAATGCTGCCAAAATCCAGGCTCGCCACATTGTGGAGCAGCGGAGGGGCAGCCCCATGGAGCCTATGCACTACGTCCTGGTGCCTTTTCATGACCCAGGTAAGTATGGTCTGGCTAGGACAGCGGAGGGGAGGAACATGCAAGGTAGGGCATAAAGGGCTGTGGTGAGGAAGTAGCCTCGAGGTGGCATTTCCTGTAATGCTGAGTGAGCCTCTACTGTGAGCATACAGAAAACTAGCAGCAGCCTGGCTGGGGTGGCTCACGCCTATAATCCCAGAACTTTGGGAGGTGGAGGTGGGAGGATCCTTTAAGCCCAGGCGTTCAAGACCAACCTGGGCAACATAGACTCAGGTCTCTACAAAAAAATTAATAAAAATTATCTGGGTGTGGTGGTGCATGCCTATAGTCCCAGCTACTTGGGAAGCTGAGGCAGGAAGATCACTTGACCCCAGGAAACTGAGGCTGCAGTGAGCCGTGATCGCACTACTGCACTCCAGGGCAGCCTGGGCGACACAGTGAGACCCTGTCTGTGAAAGAAAAGGAGTTAGCTAGCAGCCTTTTCTCCCACTGTTTCTAAAATGGCAGCACTTTCCATGAGTGTAATGCATAATCCATGCTTCTGCTTTCTTAGGTTTTCATGCTAATAAGCCATTTTCTTTCTTTCTTTTTTTTTTTTTAATATTTCTTTTTTAAAAACATTGCTACAAAGACATGTCCAAAATAAGCCATTTTCAATTCTCTCCATTTCCTATAGGCAGAGATTGGGGTGAAGATGGGGTTGGTTGGGCCAGGCTTCTGGGAAGCATCTGAGATAGCTAGCTGCATTGTATTCTTTTCCCATTGATTAGAAGTTAGACTGTCTGGCTTAAGTCTGTGTGTCCTTAGGCTGGTCATTTAAACTTTATTTGCCTCAATTTCATCATCCATAAAATGAGTCAGTACCTGCCTCATCCTGCCTAACTCCCAGGGTTGAAATGATGATCAAATAAAATGCCTACTGGAAAGAGTTGCCTAAAGGTAGGGGTTGAGTCTTATTTGTCTGCATACATCCCGCAGTGGCTGGCATTTAATAGAGACTTAGTATGTTTGATGAAGGTATAAATAAAGAACTTAGCGCTTATTATGTGTCAAAGCACTAGCCTAAGATTTATAAAATCAACTCATTCAGTCTTCCCAATAAGTCTCTGAGGTAAGTGCTATCATTCTGTCTCTTTTCTGGTGAGGAAACTTTTTTTTTTCTTTTATTCTTTTTCCTTTGAGATAGCGGGAGAGTCTCACTGTCAGCCAGGATGGAGTGCAGTGGTACGACCATGGCTCGCAGTGGCCCTCGATTCAAGCGATCCTCCTGCCTCAGCCTCCTGAGTAGCTAGGACTATAGGCAAGCACCACCATATCCAGCTAATTTTTGTGTTTTTTTGTATAGTTGGGGCCTCACTATGTTACCCAGTCTGATCTCGAACTCCTGGGTTCAAGTGATCCTCCCACCTCAGCTTCCGAAAGTGCTGGGATTACAGGTGTGACCAGTTTGTGTGTGTTTGTTTGTTTTTGAGACAGAGAGTCTCAGCTCTGTCTCCAGGCTGGAGTGCAGCTGTGTGATCTCAGCTCACTGCAACCTCTGCCTCCTGGGTTCAAGCGATTCCCCTGTATCAGCCTCCCTAGTAGCTGGGACTACAGGTGCTCACCACCATGCCCAGGTAATTTTTGTAGTTTTAGTAGAGATGGGGTTTCTCCATGTTGGTCAGGCTGGTCTCAATCTCTTGATCTCGTCCCACCTCAGCTTCCCAAAGTGCTGGGATTACAGGCATGAGCCACCACGTCCGGTCCTAGCTGGGATATATATATATATATATATATATATATATATATATATATATGTACATATATCCAATAAAGGCCTACAGGAAATGCCACCATTTTTTTTTTTTTTGAGACGGAGTTTCACTCTTGTTACCCAGGCTGGAGTGCAATGGCGCGATCTTGGCTCACTGCAACCTCCACCTCCTGGGTTCAGGCAATTCTTCTGCCTCAGCCTCCCTAGTAGCTGGGACTACAGGCGTGCGCCACCATGCCCAGCTAATTTTTGTATTTTTAGTGGAGACGGGGTTTCACCATGTTGACCAGTATGGTCTCGATCTCTTGACCTCATGATCCACCCGCCTCGGCCTCCCAAAGTGCTGGGATTACAGGCGTGAGCCACCGCGCCCGACCATGCCACCATTTTTTTTAAGGGAGTGGAGGCCAACCTTCCCACCCACCAGGGACACCTAAGTCTGCCCTACCCTCCCCCACCCTGCACTGACAGTTATGAGTCTTTTTTTTTTTTTTTTTTTTTTGAGACGGAGTTTCGCTCTTGTTACCCAGGCTGGAGTGCAATGGCGCGATCTCGGCTTACTGCAACCTCAGCCTCCTGGGTTCAGGCAATTCTCCTGCCTCAGCCTCCTGAGTAGCTGGGATTACAGGCACGCACCACCATGCCCAGCTAATTTTTTGTATTTTTAGTAGAGACGGGGTTTCACCTTGTTGACCAAGATGGTCTCGATCTCTTAACCTCGTGATCCACCCACCTCGGCCTCCCAAAGTGCTGGGATTACAGGCTTGAGCCACCGCGCCCGGCTAATTATGAGTCTTATAATGGAATGTTGTTACTTCAATACTTGTCCACTCCAGGAGCACAGCAGCCTTCTTAACTGGGGAGGTGGCTCTTGGTAGGAATGAGGGGAGCTCTTTTCTCACTTATCTTAACCTCCCTTCCCCTTCCCAGGGTTTGGCCCTGTGTTTACAACCAGTGACCCTGACAGCTTCTGGCAACAGCTTAATGAGATCCATGCCTTGGGGGGTGTAGATGAGCCTGAGATGTGCCTGTCAGCCCTGCAGGTCTGTCCCCTCCCTTCTTCCCTTCCTCTCTTTCCTGGCCCCACCACCAGGGGGAGCTAGATCCCTCCTGGGGCTCCCCGCCACCTTCAGACCCTAGATCCGCTAGCTTCATACCAGGATTCCGAGGCCATATTCCCTTTTGCTTCATCCTCCTTGGCTCTGCCCCTTCCCTTCCTGCTGCCATTGTTAACACTGGCCCTTGCTTTCCCTGCCAGCTGGCCCTGCTGCACACACCACCACTGTCAGACATCTTCGTCTTCACGGATGCCTCTCCCAAGGATGCCTTTCTCACCAACCAGGTGGAATCCCTGACTCAGGAGCGGCGCTGCCGGGTGAGCAGAGCTGATGAGAGACCCAGCGTTAGCTACCCAGGGATGGGGGAGACCCTGTGACGACAGTCTCATAATGAGGGTTGCACCACATTATGCTGGGCCAACAAGCCTTGGTGCATGGTGGGAGAAGCGCACAATGAATGGAACATTTCCTGATACCTTTAATGATGCTCATGCACGGGAGGCTCTACCCTTAATAACGCTGAATTTGTATTTGAACCTGCCCAATAAACAATGTGAAGAACTGGAAATCTAGTCACCGAAAATCCACTGTGACGGTTACAAAGGAGTGGCCAACTACTTTTTTTTTTTTTTTTTTTTTTTTTTTGAGACAACATCTCACTCTGTTGTCCAAGCTAGAGTACAGTGGTGAGATCTTGGCTCACTGCAACCTCCACTTCCCGGGTTCAAGCAATTCTCCTGCCTCAGCCTCCCAAGTAGCTAGGACTACAAGCACGCACTACCATGCCTGGCTAATTTTTTATGTTTTTAGGAGAGATGGGGTTTCACTATGTTGGCCAGACTTGTCTTGAACTCCTGACCTCGTGATACGCCTGCCTCAGCCTCCCAAAGTGCTGGGGTTACAGGTGTGAGCCACCGCACCCAGCCAGTGGTGGCCAACTACTAACTGAAGGCAGGGGGTTGTCATTGGGAGACCCCACTCTAGCAGCCAGAAGGCAGGCAGAGACCTTATCACGAACCATCAACTCTGGAGAAAGCTTGAGCACAGGAATTCTCATTTATAATAGTGGATGGCACTTGGACAACTCAACCACTGGGCTCTCTCTTCTGGCCTCAGGTAACATTCCTGGTGACTGAAGACCCATCAAGGGTTCAGGGCCGAGCTCGGCGTGAGGTCTTGTCCCCTCTGCGTTTTGAGCCATACAAAGCAGTGGCCCTGGCCTCAGGAGGAGAGGTGATTTTCACCAAAGACCAGCACATTCAGGACGTGGCAACCATTGTTGGGGAGAGCATGGCTGCCCTGGTAAGTAAGTGGGGGCCAGTGCCCTCACTTAGGAACTGAAGGGTGATCAGGTTGCACCTCTCTTCTAATAGGAGAAAGGGGAATCACTCTCACTGCTGTGTTGCTCTTCCAGTCACGGGGCTGGAAAGGAAGTTTCTCTCCCTCTGAGATCCACAGCTAGCCACTGCAGATAGATAGATAGATAGATAGATAGATAGATAGATAGATAGATAGATATAGAGAGAGATGGAGTCTCACGCTGTCGCCCAGGTTGGAGTGCAATGGTGTGATCTTGGCTCACTGCATTCTCTACCTCCCAGGTTCAAGGGATTCTCCTGCCTCAGTCTCCCGAGTAGCTGGGATTACAGGCATCCACCACTGGGCCCAGCTAATTTTTGTATTTTTTTAGTAGAGCCGGGGTTTCACCACTTTTTTGGCCAGGCTGGTTTCGAACTCCTGACTTCAAGTGATCCACCCACCTTGGCCTCCCACAATGCTGAGATTACAGGCATGAGCCACAGTGCCCAGCCTGCATTGCCCTTTCATATCAGTAAACCCCTTCCCAGTTGGCCTCCAGTTTTCTGCCCTCAGGGTTACCACAGGAAGTCCTACCATCTTTTTTGGAGGGGGGGGTTGTATTCTGTAGAGACAGGGTCTCATTATGTTGACTAGGCTGGTCTTGAACCCCTGGTCTCAAGTGATCCTCCTGTGTTGGTCTCCCAGGTGCTGGGATTACAGGCATGAGCCACCACCCCTGGCCTGTCATCTTTTAATGCGGTACAAGATGTGATTGTCTAATCCTGAATCCCTTGCCTCCAACTTTGTCACTGACTATAATAACTTCATCCCTGGCCCTGTGCCCCTCTCTCACTGGTGTCCCTTTCTCCGTGTGTGACATGGTTTCTTTCCATCTCTCCTTTCTTCTGTATTTGGTCCCACCTGATCCCACACCTCATCATCTCCCCCATTTTCTGGTCCCGCCCATCCCTCAAGGTGACTCTTCCCCTGGACCCTCCTGTTATGGTGCCTGGGCAGCCACTTGTGTTCAGTGTGGATGGGCTGCTCCAGAGGATCACAGTCCGGATCCACGGAGACATCAGCAGCTTCTGGATCAAGAACCCTGCTGGTACCTTTGAAGGCAGGGGGAAGAATGGGGCCTGGGGAATAGACAATCAGGGGAGTGTACTCAGGGAGAGCAAGTGTTTCATGTGACAATTTCTTCCCTGACCTCAGGAGTCTCCCAGGGCCAGGAAGAAGGCATGGGTCCTCTAGGTCACACTCGCCGCTTTGGGCAGTTCTGGATGGTGACCATGGATGACCCTCTGCAGACAGGAACCTGGGAGATCCAGGTCACAGCTGAGGGCACCCCCGGGGTGAGAGTGCAAGGTAAGGGGGAGGTGTTCCTGGAAAAGGGAAGGAGGGACTGCAGGCCTCAGAGAGCACTATCAGTCACACTCCTTTAGGGAAGAGTTCTGACTGCCTTTGCCCTCTCCCAGCCCAGACCTCCCTGGACTTCCTCTTCCACTTTGGCATCCCCATGGAGGACGGACCCCACCCTGGCCTCTACCCACTGACTCAGCCAGTTGCAGGTACATCTATTCCCTGAGCACCCCCCACCACATAACCCTGTTTTTAATATCTCTATACATTTATATATCTATAATGTATAGATGTATACATACATCTATACATATACGTAACTTTTATATTGAGTTATAATTTACATAATGTGCACTAAAGTGTGTAGTTTGATGGATTTCATATAATACACCCAGTTCAGGATATAGAACTTTTCCAGCACCCCAGAACTCCCTCCTGCTGCTCCCCATTAGTACTCCTCGAAGGTGACCTCTTTTCCCCATCCATACTCCCCAGAGGGAATCCCTATTTTGAAGGCCATTAATTCTTTTCTCCCTGTGTCTCTGAATCTCACAATGTTCTCCCCTCCTCACCCCTGTCCCAGGTCTTCAGACCCAGCTGCTGGTAGAAGTGACAGGGCTGGGTTCCAGAGCCAGTCCTGGGGATCCTCAGCCTCATTTCTCCCACGTCATCCTTCGAGGGGTCCCCGAGGGTGCCGAACTAGGCCAGGTGCCCTTGGAGCCCGTGGGACCCCCAGAGCGAGGTCTCCTCGCAGCCTCGCTGCCGGCCAAGCTGCTGTCCACCCCTAGACCCTTCTCCCTGGAGCTGATTGGCCAGGACGGAGTGGGGCGGCGCCTGCACAGGGCTGCCCCTCAGCCTAGCACTGTGGTCCCTGTCCTTCTGGAGGTGAGACCTTAGGGGAAGGTGCGGCTGGGGCTGGAGAGAGTTGGAGCGGCCCCTTCCCTGACTAGCCCTTCTCTGCAGCTTAGCGGCCCCTCGGGTTTCTTGGCCCCGGGCAGCAAGGTCCCTCTCAGTCTCCGCGTAGCCAGCTTCTCGGGCCCTCAGGATCTTGACCTTAGGACATCCGTCAACCCCAGCTTCTCCCTCACCTCCAACCTCTCCAGGTGAGGCCCCTGAACCCTTCAGCTCCCTCTGGCATCTTGCCCGACCCACGCTTATCCCAAGTCCCGCCCCTGGCCCATTCCGATTGGCCCTCAGAATCCTCCTCTCCTCTCCCGTGCCCCTGCAGGCGTCCCCTGGCTTTGCGCTCTGGCAGCCTGGGGCTTTAGCTCGACCCCCGTATTCTCTCTCCAGGGCTCACCTGGAACTGAATGAGTCCGCCTGGGGCCGCTTGTGGCTGGAGGTCCCAGACTCAGCGGCCCCGGATTCCGTGGTGATGGTGACTGTGACTGCCGCGGGACGAGAAGCCAGCCCAGTGCCTCCGACTCATGCTTTCCTCCGGCTCCTGGTGCTGGCCCCAGCCCAGCAGGTGAGAGGCACCGCTACCTTCCATCACAGGGTAGACAAGGCAGGGGAAGCGTGATGTAGGTTTAATGTGGGTACAGCTCTAGCACACCCTGTCATTCTCTTCCTCTTCCCTGCAGGACCAGCTCGCTGCCCCTACCCACTCACATGACCCTATCTTCACCACAGCCACCCCTGCCTTTTGCCCCTTCACAATGATGACTCAAGGCAGGGCTGGGGCAGGCCTGTCGGGCAGCCCGTGGTGGGGCACAGTTGGAGGGGTGCTGCTTCTGCTAGGCCTGGACTCCTGGTGACAAAACAGGTTCTACAGGGATGGGTCTCCAGAACTATTTTCAACCTGTCCACTGGTAAGAAGACCTGGGACACATTTGCCATATAGGCCTTAGGACCTTACCTCTCCTAGATTTTTTTTTTTTTTGAGACGGAGTCACTATATTGGCCAGGCTGGTCTTGAACTCTGACCTTGTGATCCACCTGCCTAAGCCTCCCAAAGTGCTGGGATTACAGAAGTGAGCCACTGTGCCCGGCCAGCCACCATGCCTGGCCTCTTTTATTTTCTCTTTCTTTTTTTCTTCTTTCTTTTCTTTTTCTTTCTTTCTCCCTTCCTGCCTTCCTTCCTTCCTTTCCTTTCTCTCTCTCTCTCCCCCTCCCTCCCTTCCTTCCTTCCTTTTTTTGAGACAGAGTTTTGCTCTTGTCGCTCAAGCTGGAGTGCAATAGCACAATCTCAGCTCACTGCAGCCTCCACCTCCCGGGTTCAAGTGATTCTCCTGCCTCAGCTTCCCCAGTAGCTGGGATCACAGGTGCCCACCACCATGCCCAGCTAATTTTTTGTATTTTTAGTAGAGACAGGGTTTCACCATGTTGGCCAGGCTGGCTGGTCTTGAACCCCTGACCTCATACTATCCACCTGCCTTGGTTTCCCAAAGTGCTGAGATTGCAGGCATGAGCCACCACACCTGGCCAATGAAGGGTTTTTTCTCCACATCCCTTTCCTTTCTTAAAAACTGCGAGACTGGGGCTGAGTGCAGTGGCTCACGTCTGTAATCCCAGCACTCTGGGAGGCTGAGGCAGGAGGATGTCTTGATTCCAGGAGGTCAAGGCTGCAGTAAACTGTGGTTGCATCACTGCACTACAGCATGGGCAACAGTGAGATCCTATCTCAGAAACAAAACAAAACAGAAAACCCTGCAAGACTGGGAGAGATGGCAATGGATTTTCCCACAATGCACTTTTCCTGACCCTATGAGAAACAAACACATTTTTGGAGAAAGTTGCTTTCTGGAGCAGCTTTGGTTTTATTTTTGTATTTAAGGCTGAAGGACAGTTTCAATAAACATATCTTCTCCCCAGAGGGATTTCAAAGAAAGACCATTTTTGCATTTCATATAGGGGAGAATGAGGACATGTGACACCAAGAAGATGAAAGAAAGTTTTCAGGAGTAGAGGAGACACTTTACACCAAGATGTCTGAACTTTATTGACTTACTACCTGGAGCCATTTTTTAGCTGTTAAGAAGCAGAATAAGGAGCCTGGGGCTTCTGACTCTTTCACCAGACTTAGGAAAGTGAGAGGAAGGTTTAGACACGGGTAGGGCCTCTTGGCGCCTTCGGGCAGCCCCACTGAGCCTTCTCCTCATTTGGCTGGGTGACTCCCTTCTGCCTTGATGACCCCTGGAGGAGAGGAGAAACAGACGGGGCCTCTGGGCTCCTCCCTGCCCTGTAGGGTGCGGCTCCTGCCCTCTCCCTTGAAGTTTACCTGTTGCTGCCACAAGTTTGGCTTCCTTGGTCTTTCCTTTGAATCCTGGGTGGTGCACGAACTAGGCGTGTTTCGTGTACTTGGGGAGAACTGGAGGGGAAATTCGCCGTATTTTCTGTTAAGCCAGCACTGACCCCAACAACTCCACTCTCTAGTCCCACTTCCCAAAAGTCAAAACGGAAAACAATCAACTCACCTTCTCCTGAATCAGATTCTGCAAACAGACGTTCACCTTTTGAATCTGGGCTAACTGGGGGCCACGAGGCTCTGGGTATAAATCTGTTAGAAAATTCTAGAGGAGGAGTTGAAGGCTGACAACATGGTAAAAACCTGAGGTCCATCTGCCACTCTAGTCCTGTCACCACAGGCCATCCCTCCCCTCATCTGGATCCCCTCATCCCAGTGCCCTCCCAGGCAGGTGGGAAAATCCAATACTCGCACCTCCATCTCTTTAGAGCGATGTCAGTTCCTCTACCCGCTCAAATAGCACAATAACCCCTTTCACTACTCTTCATGGAACCTCCCTGTCCATCCCCGCCCCATTGGAATAATCCAGGCCACACCCTCATCTCCATGGAGTGATCCAAATCCCTCTGAATGGAATGCAGACCAGCTTCCTCCAGCCCCAACAATGAGCACCAACTTAACACTTGGTGGCATCCTGTCATTATAATGCTGCCCCCAATTCATGATCCCTGACCATTAACTCTCCCCTCTCCAGAGTGGTCTCAGGCTGTGTCTACACATTCCCTGCTCCTCCCTCCCTGGCCCTCTGCCAATTCACACAGAGGGGCAGCCCCCTTACCTCACCGAGGGCTCCCAGATGCAGCTGCTGTCGATGTGCCTCCCTCAGACGGTCTTCAAACCAGGTCTGGCCATGTTCTAGCAGCTCCAGCCCCTGCCACAGGGCATCCTGTTCTCTCTCCAGAGCCTGCATCCTCTGCAGCTTGGAAAGGCAAATACAGAGGCTGACTCTTGTGCTACAGCAGGGCTCTGGGTCATGGCCCTTCCTCTCCACCCCTGTTTGGGTTCACTGTGTGGTCACTGAGTGTGAGCCCGGACTGGTCACTGAGGACCTGAAGGGCAAGAGAAGGCAGGCGAGAACACTGTGGGCCCTCAAGTTGAGTGAAAATATAAAGGGCAGATCTATGGAGAAAGACTTCCCCTGGGACCTCTTGCTGGGCTGATACTCACCCAAAGAAAGAAGCTCTGGGCCCCTGGGTCTTGGCGGCTTGTCCCTAGTGGCAGCAGCAGGACTGTGTAGGGAGCCTGCACCAAGGGCAGCCTGCCAGGGCCCTGGCTCCCCATGGCTCTGAGGTGGGAAGAGTGGAGCCACTCCCACTGGTGTAGCCTGGACTGGTCCCTCCCCTCCGTCCCTGCCTTGGCCCCATCCTCCTTCTGTCAGCCTCTCAGGCCCCTTCCTGCTGTGTCTGTCTGAGGCTGGGTGTTCCCACTTGAGAAGAGAGACCATCTCCCGTGGGCCCCTCTGTCTTCCCTCTAATTTGTTTTTGTAGGGCCTCTCTCAAGTGGTTCATTCTCGTGAAGTCTCCTAGGGTAGAATCTGAGGGTCTCCCTACAGCAGTGACACTGTATTTTTACTGAGGCAGGGCAGGTTCCCCTGTGGATTCCTGCTCTGTGTTTCAGCTCTTTCCTGGTCGGTTTTGGCTGGCCTAAAGAAACAATACCTTTCTCCAAAATAAACTTTATTCCTAATATAAAACAAAATTTCTAGAGAAACTAAAAATTCTGGGTCTGAAGGAGATAAGAAAACAAAGAGGGCATGGCAGCCCACTGGGGTCTCAGGAGGCTGAGGAGGGCATAGGAAGGACTCTCAGAGGATGCTGGTGGCAGCAGGCAGCACTTCCTGGCTCATGAAAACATTCAAGTCCAGGTTAGGATCTTCCAAATCCAGTTTCATAAACTTATCCACTAATGTCTGGCAACTGCAGAAAGAGAAAATAGTGAGATTTATGGGAGAATGGACAACCAAGTTCCTGGGCAGAGGGGAGAGGCTGTGACACAGAAAACCTGGGATCTTGAAGATTTAGGGATTTCAGAAAGAAATGATGGATTTCTGAAGGGCAAAGTGCTGGAGGAAAGATGAGTCCCTGAAAAGGGGAGAAGAGCCATAGGAGAAGATGCAGAGAGTGAAGACACTGGGGCCATGCACTCACTTTTCCATTTGGTTCTTTTTTAGCAAATCCTTGACAGGCTTGATGGGTTTTCCACTTCGTATCAAGTCTGAGACCTAGGAACAACAAGCAAGAAGGTTGGAGGGCTGAGGGAAATTGAGGAAGAGAAGGGGAAATAAGGGTCAGAAATTCTGTGGACCTAAACCCAGGCCCCAATAGGAGTAGGAATGGAAGGGAGCTCTGAGGGGGAGGTGGTTGTGCATTTGGATCTCATCACCTCCTTGCCACGAGCCACGAGTCTGTTGGGAAGCCCAGCCTGGATAGCTGTGTGGGAGGCATGGCTTGCCTTCGCCACACCTTCGCAAACCTGATAGAAGAAGACAAGGTCGTTGCCATCCTCACAGGTCTCCATGGTCTTAAAAGAGAATAAAAGACAGTGTATTGTCAGTCACCTCCTTCCTGTCCTAAAACCTTTGGCCAATCCTTGTGGGGAGGGAGAAAAGGGAAGGGATGTGGCCTCTGTACTGAGGGAGCCCTTGTTCTGATAGAGGAGCCAATCTCCACTGCTGGGAAATGCAGATCCTAGGGGCCCCCGAGGGGCTAGATTGGTCTCCTCACCAAATACTGCACCAGGGGCCCTTGTGGCAGCAGCTGTAGCTGAACAAGGCTCAGAAAGTTGGTGGCCACAAAGATGTGGGGGCATGTGCGTCCAAGTGCCAGCCAGTGTCGGAGCACAGCGGCCAGAAGTGCAAGCCCATCCACCTGCAGAGAAGGCAGAGATTAGGGTTCAGAGCCATGGGGATCCCATGTGTCCCTCTGCACTTGCACTGGCCTTTCCCTATCTTAGGTTCTGTTTCTTTTCTGCCCACACAGCCCTATTCTATTCCAGGGGTCCAGCCTCACTCTCATGCTCCTTCATCCTCCTCTGTTTCCCCCTCCTTAGTTTCTCCCCATATCAGTTTCTCCCCTCACCGTGTTGGTTCCCTTTCCAAATTCATCAATGAGGACCAGCGACTGTGCAGTGGCATTGTTCACTGCTTTCGCCACCTGCTGGGCGTAAGGTGGACAAGGGAAAGTTAGTATTGGAGGCCTGTAATGCACTGACCACACTTGACCCGTGAATAAAGCTGTATATGCGACACCCCCACTGCACTGCAAGTTCTAGAATGGTGAGGTGCATGCTTTGTTCATCCTCTCTTTGCCAACAGTGACTCACACGGAGCAAGCATTCAAGAAGTGTTTGTGTTGGGAGGCTGAGGTGGGTGGATCACCTGAGGTCAGGAGTTCAAGACCAGCCTGGCCAACATGGTGAAACCCCATCTCTAATCTTTAAAATAAAAAAAGAAATAAAAATAAAAATACAAAGTATTTGTAGTATTGATTCTTTCTGTCTCTGACCCTAGTGCTTCCCACTTTTAGTATAGAGGGCATGCAGCAGAGGGCATGCTTTCCTGTTTTGAGCATTTTCAGGGGTTCCTTCCCCATTACCCACTCCCTCAATCCCACCTCCCTTTGCTCCTTTTGACCTGGTTGAGGTCGATCATGAAGGTGGAGAGGCCAAGGGAGATGGATTCACAGCTATGAATTCGCGTGAAGATGGCATCTACTGCCCCAATTTCGGCCTCCTCTGCTGGCACAAAGCTGCCTACCAGGGCCATGAATACGATCAAGCCTATCTGAATAGGGAAGGAAACAGGGCCTGGGGCCTGGTGCTGTGGGCTGAGGTGAAAGAGAGGCTCAAGGCATGAATGACAGATCAAAGAGAAATAGAGTGAAACAGGAGAAAAAGGTAAAGAATACACTGACTCTCTCTCCTTCCCCAATCCTGATCATAGCCCCGTTGGCTAATTTAGGATCAGTAAAGAGGCATGGGGCATAGGCAGAGACATACTTGGGAGTGGTGTGTACCTACTCAGAGGCGGGTGGAGGAATTTGAGCCATGGAAAGTTCCATTAGAGCATGGCTCTCTAATAGAGAATGAGAACATGTGAGATGGAAGCACATGGTCCCTTCATGAGGGGTGGGGTCAGAAAACAGGGAAAAAGAGCTGCAGGAGCCTGGGTTGGGTGGCAAGTAAGGGTGGAGTAGATGCAGAAGATGCCAGAGGCCCAGGCTGTAGGGCTTCTCCTCACCTGTTTGAGGTATATGCTCTTCCCTGATGAGTTGGGTCCGGTGATGACTTTGACCCTTCCTTTGTCCCCACCACATTCTGTGGAGTTGGGCACAAAGGTTCGGGCACAGAGTTCCATCAGAGGATGTCTGCAGTGGGTGGAGAGGCACCTCGCATAGCTTGTGGATCAAAATGGATGAATCCCCAGAAGATGGAGCCTTTTTGCCCCTCAAGTTTATTCCTCCACCCACCTCTATTCTTACCTGCCATTCTGGATTCGTACCCCAGGGACTTGGGAGTAACGGGGCCTTGAGTAGCCATAGTCCCGGGCAGCACTGGCAAGAGCCAGCAGGACATCCAGACGGGAGGCAAGGTCTAATACTCGGGTTAAGACAGCTGCTCGTGCCAGCACCTGGCACTGCAACTGGTACATCAGCAGTGTCTCCTGGTCTGAGAGAGGGTGAGGGAGGGAGCTGGAGGTCAGCTCCAGGGCAAAGTGAAGGAGAGGCAGAGGCCCCTAGAGGGATCTGGAAACAGGTGTGCAGATAAAATCTGAGACCTCAAGACATTCAGAGGAAAAGATACAGAGTCAGAGTGAGAGAGACAGAGTAGGAAGAGAAGGGGCCTGTTGGAAACATTCCCAAGTTGCCCACTCTCCTCCTGCCCCTGGCTGCTGCTTTTTTAAAAACATCTTACAATGCACATAACCTCTGGCTCCTCCTCACCCCGGATCTCGCAGTGCAGGTCCCCCAGCAATGCATCCAGCTCCTTGGTTCGGGCACTACGATAGTGAAGCTTCTCCTCTGAGAGAAACTGGGTACAGGGGTTCAAAACTGTGGGCTTTCCATCTCTTGGTCCTCCTCTTCTTCCTCACCTTTCCAACCTCACCTCCAGCCCCTAAGCCTGACTTCTCTTTCCTTTGCCTCAGTGCCGGTAAAGCTCAGAGTAAAACTACAGAGGAGAGATCCCATACTGGGCAGTGCTGCTATGGGTAAGGCCCTCCCTCAGCGGCTGACTCATTTTCCTCATCGCTCACCTACAGAGGTTGAGGGTCTTACCATGAAGTCCAGTCCGTCAATCTCAAAGTCACTGGCCTCTACCATGGAAGACAGGCGAGGAATACAAAGAAGGAAGCCGATCTGGGGAGAGTAAAGAGGAGATACTTTACTCTCCTGCTTGGAGAATTACTGGATACCTCCTCTCCCTAGAGGAAGCTTAAGAGATCCCTGTATCCCCACAAAAAGGTGTTCATGTTCTTCAGGCTGCCCCATAAGTTTTCTTATCTACCAGTGTTTCTATCATAAGCCTATCTCCCCGAAAAGACCTCTGAAGGCTACACCCACTCTCCTACCCTCACCAGAGGGATATAGATGACACTGCATGACGGAATACGGGAGTCCAGATTCTCCAGCTCCTTGCGGGCAACCTCGGTGAGGAAATTGGGAAGTCCCATCAATCTTCGCTTTTCTACGAGGGTGGAAGACATGTGGTTATCAAAAGTGAGGCTCCTGCCCTGGTTGCTATGAAGATTCCCCAGCTGTGGTGACCACCTGCCAAGGATGGTAGTCTGTCCCTGCACAGGGCTCACAGGCCCATCCGCACCCAACACTCACTCTCATCAATTTCCGGATCTATGTTGGGGAGGACTGTGAAGCGATTTTCAGCAAGACTGCCCTCAAAGTCTACCTGAGGAGATAAGAGGTACTGCTTCTTAGCACCTGGTACCCTCTTTCTGTCCTGTTCCTCAGCTCTCCTTGGGCCCTAATTCTCCCTACAGTCCTGCTTTAACTCTCACCCTCCAGATACTTCCCTGAATTTCTGCCACCTCCTCTCACCATCCCATTCTTTTTTTTTTTTTTGAGATGGAGTCTCACTCTTGTGACCCAGGCTGGAGTGCAATGGCGCGATCTCGGCTCACCGCAACCTCCGCCTCCTGGGTTCAGGCAATTCTCCTGCCTCAGCCTCCTGAGTAGCTGGGATTACAGGCAGGAGCCACCATGCCCAGCTAATTTTTTGTATTTTTAGTAGAGACGGGGTTTCACCATATTGACCAGGATGGTCTCGATCTCTCGACCTCGTGATCCACCCGCCTCGGCCTCCCAAAGTGCTGGGATTACAGGCTTGAGCCACCGTGCCCGGCCCTTACCATCCCATTCTTTAACTACCCAACTGACCTCAATAACTCTCATGCTTCCCCATCTCGCATGCTGCATTCCCTGGACTCCAGTCCCTCTCCTCTCTCCCCCTGACCTCCCTGGGTGCACTCGCTCTTTCCTTCCACTCACTACTTTCCCAATGAGGCTGGCAATATGGTGCAGGTCATCAGAGAACTCGTGGGCAATGTCCCGAAAGAGCTGGATGGACTTCGGCAGGGAGCGGCAGGCATCCCTCAGGCCCAGGGCACTGTACACAGTCTGTGAGAGAAACACAACAAGGAGGACAGCCCATATGCAGCTCTGGCTGAGGTGGGGATAGGGACAAACTCCGAAGAACAAAGACCAGCAGAGAAGATCACAGTAATAAAGAGGGAAGATCTCAAAGGCAAAAAGAAACAGTGAGACAGAAAATGGCATCTGTAAAATTCGATGCCAGGCACTGTATTAAACCCTGCAGCTACAAAGACAATTAAGATATGGTCCTGGCTGGGCACGGTGGCTCACACCTGTAATCCCAACACTTTGGGAGGCCAAGGTGGGAGGATCACCTGAGGTCAGGAGTTTGAGACCTGCCTGGCCAATGTGGCAAAACCCCATCTCTACTACAAACACAAAATCAGCCGGGCATGGTGGCTTATGCCTGTAATCCCAGCTACTCAGGAGACTGAGGCAGGAGAATCACTCAAACCCAGGAGGCGGATGTTGCAGTGAGTCAAGATTGTGCCATTGCACTCCAGCCTGGGCAGCAAGAGTGTTAAGTCCATCTCAAAATAAGTAAAATAATTAATAATAAATTAAAAAATAAAATAGATGGACCAGGTTACAGAACTAAATACATACATACATATATATATACACATATATATGTGTATATATATACATATATACATTTATATATATGTATATGTGTGTATATATATACATATATACACACATATACATATCCATATATATGTGTATATATATACATATATACATATATGTATATACCTATATATATACACATATATATGTGTATATATAGGTATATATATATACCTATATATATACACATATATATGGATATATATACCTATATATGCACATATATGTGTATATATATGTATATATATACACATATATATGGATATGTATATAGGTATATACATATATATGCATGCATATATTTATTTGTTTATTATTTATTTTAGATGGAGTTTTGCTCTTGTTGCCCAGGCTGGAGTGCAATGGCGCAACCTCGGCTCACTGCAACCTCTGCCTCCTGGGTTCCAGTGATTCTCCTACCTCAGCCTCCCAAGTAGCTGGGATTACAGGCATGTGCCAACACACCCAGCTAATTTTTTGTATTTTTTGTAGAGACAGGGGTTACTCCATGTTGGTCAGGCTGGTCTCAAACTCCCTACCTCAAGTGATCCGCCTGCCTTAGCCTCCCAAAGTGCTGGGATTACAGGCATGAGCCACCGCGCCCGGCCAGAACTAACAAAAATTACCAAGGAAGTTCAGAGAGTAAGACTAAAATGGAGAAAGATAGTTTGAGATGTCTTTGCAGAGAAAAGGAAATAAGGTGGATCTTAAGGCTATTCAAAAGGCAGGCAGGCAGGTATTGTGTATGAGTGAGAGCATAGGCTAATAAACAGAGGTAGGAATAAGAGCTAATTTTTTTTGCACTCCCAGGCTGGAGTGCAATGGTGCCATGTCACTACAACCTCTGCCTTTTGGGTTCAAGCTATTCTCCTGCCTCAGCCTCCTGAGTACTTAGTACTACAGGCATGCGCCACCATGCCCAGCTAATATTTGTATTTTTAGTAGAGACGGGGTTTCACCATGTTGGCCAGGATAGTCTCAATCTCTTGACCTCGTGATCCACCCACCTTGGTCTCCCAAAGTGCTGGGATTACAGACGCGAGCCACCGCGCCTGGCCAAGAGCTAATATATACTGACTGTTTGCAACATGCCAGGCAATGTTCTAACAATTTACATATGTTAATTTCATTCACTCCTCAAAATGCTCCTATGAGGTAAGTACTAGCATTACCTCCATTTTACAGAGGAGCAATCTGAAGCCCAAAGAGATGATGTAATTTTCTCAGGTCTCACGGTGAGTAAATAGAAGAGCTGGGATTTGAACTCAGGTGTCTGGCTTTTTTTTTTTTTTTTTTTTTTTTTTTGAGATGGAGTTTCACTCTCGTTACCCAGGCTGGAGTGCAATGGTGCAATCTTGGCTCACTGCAACCTCTGCCTCCTGGGTTCAGGCAATTCTCCTGCCTCAGCCTCCTGAGTAGCTGGGATTACCACCACGCCCAGCTAATTTTTTGTATTTTTAGTAGAGACGGGGTTTCACCTTGTTGACCAAGATGGTCTCAATCTCTTGACCTCGTGATCCACCCGTCTCGGCCTCCCAAAGTGCTGGGATTACAGGCTTGAGCCACCGCACCTGGCCCAGGTGTCTGGCTTTTAACCACTGTACCATTCTGAGTAGGGACACAGTGGGTATTCTAAGCAGAGTAATTAATGCAAAGCCTGCTGTGGCTGAAGCAGAGCATAAATTTTAACAAGTGATAAGGGGAGATACAAATAGTTGTATGTATCTGCTCATATTTTTAAAAATGGAAATCACTGGCCAGGCATGATAGCTTATGCCTGTAATCCCAGTACTTTGGGAGGCTGAGGCGGGTAGATCACTTAAGGTCAGGAGTTCAAGACCAGTCTGTCCAACATGGTGAAACCCTGTCTCTACTAAAAATACAAAAATTAGCCAGGTATAGTGGCATATGCCTGTCATCCCAGCTACTTGGAAGGCTGAAGCAGGAGAACCGCTTGAACCCGAGAAGCGGAGGTTACAATGAGCCGAGATTGTACCACTGCACTCCAGCCTGGGCAACAGAGACTCCATTTAAAAAAAAAATTGCTTTATGTGTCAGGTATACATACTGCAGATAATGAAACCAGGTTTCTCACTGTCATAGAAAGAAGTTACAAATGAAGAAAGGAAGAAACCTAGAGTAAACTCTGTGGCATTTGACTGGAATCAGAGGTGTCACGATGACCTCATGGGTTATATAGACAGGTACAGGAATACAGATATGTATGCATGGGTATACATACACATATTTCCTAGTTCTGTCTGTGAAGAGGGCCTAAAAGAAGTGTCAGATACTTGATTTTTTTGACAGAGTCTCACTCTGTCACCCAGTCAGGAGTGCAGTGGCACTGTCTCAGCTCACAGCAACCTCTGCCTCCCAGGTAGTCCTACTGTCTCAGTCTCCCGAGTAGCTGGTACTACAAGCATGCATCACCACTGCCAGCTAACTTTGGTGATTGTTATTATTATTTTGAGATTGAGTCTCACTCCGTTGCCAAGCTGGAGTGCAGTGGCACAATCTTGGCTCACTGCGACCTCTACCTCCTGGGTTCAAGCGATTCTCCTGCCTCTGACTCCCAAATAGCTGGGGCTACAAGTACGTACCACCATGTCCAGCTAATTTTCCGTATTTTTAGTAGAGACAGGGTTTCACCACGTTAGCCAGGATGGTCTTGATCTCCTAACTTCATGATCTGCCCATCTCGGCCTCCAAAAGTGCTGGGATAACAGGCGTGAGCCACCACTCCCAGTAAAACCTTTGTATTTTTTGTAGAGAAGGAGTTTCGCTATGTTATTGAGGCAGGTTTCTAACTCCTGGGCTCAAGCAATCCTCCCACATCAGCCTCCCGAAGTGCTGGGATTACAGGCATGAGCCACCACACTTGGCCCAGATCATGGTTTTAATGCCATTCTCCAAAAAGTAACAAGGCTCCTTGGAGAAACTGATTCCAGGGCTGGTGCAAGGAAAAGACAAGATGAGTCTGGAGTAAAAAACTAAAAAAGGAAATACTCAAAATAAAAATAAAATAAAATGAAGGCTGGGCACAGTGGATGACGCCTGTAATCCCAGCATTTTGGGAGGCCGAGGCAGGCAGATTACAAGGTCAGGAGTTCGAGACCAGCCTGGACAATATGGCGAAACCCTGTCTCTACTAAAAATACAAAAATTGGCCAGGCGTGGTGGCAGGCACTTGTAGTCCCAGCTACTTGGGAGGCTGAGGCAGGAGAATCAGTTGAACTCAGAAGGTGGAGGTTGCAGTAAGCAGAGATAACGCTACTGTACTCCAACTCCAGCCTGGCGACAGAGTGAGTGAACCAGCCTGGGCAACATAGTGACCCCCATCTCTATGAAAGGCCTAGTGCCGTGGCTCACACCTGTAATCCCAGTACTTTGGGAAGCTGATGTGGGCAATCATGAGGTCAAAAGATCAAGACCATCCTGGGCAACATGGTGAAACTCCCGTCTCTACTAAAGATATAAAAATTAGCTGGGCGTAGTAGTGCGCACCTGTAGTCCCAGCTACTCAGGAGGCTGAAGAAGGAGAATTGCTTGAACCCCAGAAGTGGAGGTTATGGTGAGCCAAGGTCGCGCCACTGCCCTCCAGCCTGGGCAACTGAGTGAGACTTTGGTGGCTCAAGCCTGTAATCCCAGCACTTTGGGAGGCCAAGGCAGGCGGATCACCTGAGAGAGGGGGTTCGAGATTAGCCTGATCAATATGGAGAAACTCTATCTCTACTAAAAATACAAAATTAGCCCAGTGAGGTGGCGCAGGCCTGTAATCTCAGCTAATTAGGAGGCTGAGGTAGGAGCACTGCTTGAACCCAGGAGACAGAGGTTGCAGTGAGCCAAGATCACACCAGTATACTCCAGTCTGGGTGACAGAGAAAGACTCTGTCTCAAAAAAAAAAAAAAAAAAAGGTTAGAATAAAATTGGACAGCGTGTCTAGGGTACAATCTGAAACACAGGCTGAGGGGCTTTACCTGGACTTCTGGGATTCAAGAAGGAAGGCCTTACCTTGTAGAGAACCTGCCAGTCGCTGACCTTGGTGTGAGACAACTTCATGCGTTTCAGAATCAGCTACAGTCAGACAAGGTTACAGCCACTGTTTCCCCTACACTCACTCTAATGACCCTCATGAAGCCCAACACCCAGTTTCAGCCTTCAATCTCCTTCCCCACCTCCCTGCCCTCCACCTTGGGCTCACAGGAACGTTCTTGATGTGACCCAGGAGTCGATGCAGCATCTGAGCCATGTCCAGATTCTGGGGCAGCAGGAAAAACTGAATGACGTCCAGACGAGAATTGAGTTCCCCCAGGTCATGAGTTGGACGTGTGAACCACAGCCTGGAAGTGAAGGTTAGGGTGGGGGTACTAGAAATTACACCTGTTCTCATCATCTTGATCTAAATTTGCCAAAAAGTGTGTTGCAGTCCTGGGGATTGTGGCAATATGTATCCACAATGTGCAAGTGCAGTGTCCTACCCATGCAGGTGTGTTTACATGTATCTACTGAAAATTACTAGATGTGACCATAATTGTGTCTACATATCACAGTTTCAGCGGATAAGACCGTGTGTCATTCCATGTGGATATGGAATGAAGCTTGTCAATATTTTAGGAAAGCAGTGTGTTGAGGTATTTGTGTGCCAACACTGCAGCTCGTTCTGCAGCTAAGAGACGGTGAGTCAGTATGAGTTTGTATGTCTGTATTTAGCTGTGAAAGTGTCTCTGGGTAACAGCAACAGACATTCATCTTTTCGTATTCTTCCTGTGAAAACATAACCTGTCTCATTAGGAATAATAAGCCTTTAATTCATAATAATGGTCAACTCTGCAGAGAAAAAAGGTTTGGGGAAGGATATTAAAGGGGCTTCAACAATAATGTCTTTTTTTCTCTCTCTCTCTCTTTTTTTTTTTTTTTTTTTTGAGACGGAGTTTCGCTCTTGTTACCCAGGCTGGAGTGCAATGGCGTGATCTCGGCTCACCGCAACCTCCGCCTCCTGGGTTCAGGCAATTCTCCTGCCTCAGCCTCCTGAGTAGCTGGGATTACAGGCAGGCGCCACCATGCCCAGCTACTTTTTTGTATTTTTAGTAGAGACGGGGTTTCACCATGTTGACCAGGATGGTCTCGATCTCTTGACCTCGTGATCCACCCGCCTCGGCCTCCCAAAGTGCTGGGATTACAGGCTTGAGCCACCGCGCCCGGCCTGAAGATTTGCTTCTTACATTGTAGTCTATGGCCAGTTACTTTGGGTTCAAACACTCCAGATTAGAATGAAGCGGAGCATCCAGATGGCTTCAAGGGTGAGTTTCAGGTACCTCTGCTCCTTGGTCATTGAGGGCTCCCTCCAGGGCAGCGTAAGTCAGTCTGTAAATACCCATCTCCACCTTAGAAAGCACATGAGCTGCTGGGCGCGGTGGCTCACGCCTGTAATCCCAACACTTTGGGAGGCCGAGGCGGGTGGATCACGAGGTCAAGAGATCGAGACCATCCTGGTCAACATGGTGAAACCCCGTCTCTACTAAAAATACAAAAAATTAGCTGGGCATGGTGGCACGTGCCTGTAATCCCAGCTACTCAGGAGGCTGAGGCAGGAGAATTGCCTGAACCCAGGAGGCGGAGGTTGCGGTGAGCTGAGATGGCACCATTGCACTCCAGCCTGGGTAACAAGAGCGAAACTCTGTCTGAAAAAAAAAAAAAAAGAAAGCACATGAGCTGCACTAAACACTTAGATATCTCTGACTCATGTCCTGCTAGTACTGGGAGAGACTTTAGTTAAGCCAAACTTCCTAATTTTACAACTGCAAAAATGAGGCCCTTAATAAACAACTTGCTCAAAGTCATACTGCTAATGAGAACAGCTGAGTCTCAAAATCAGGTCTCTGGACTGCTAGGACAGGGCTCTTTAGAGCATATTGTGACATTCAGTCACATTCTTTGTGCCCTGTCTACCTTTCAGTTTTTGAACTCCTGGCCTCAAGCAATCCTCCTGGCTTAGCCTCTCAAAGTGCTGGGATTACACGTGTGAGCCACCACATCTGGCCCTATATTATTATTATTTATATCTTTTTGTGCGTTAGAGGTATTTCCTAATAAATTAAATTTATATACAGAAATATTAATAAATGTGTAATATGTTCTTAGTTCATTAGATTATATGATGATTCTTCAAGTTATATGATCTCATGCCCTGCCTGATTCCATCTAGGGAATATGCACTCCTCCCCCACCTTAAATCCAGTGCTCTTCTCCACTGAGAATTCTCTCCCTCCCATCTGTGGTTGAGATTAGAGATCTGCACCTGAAGCCCTGGAGAATGTGTGGGTAATTAAATCACCCTGCCGATTACTTGGAGATGCTGATTACCTGATTACCCTGCTGATTACCTAGAGATGACCTCAGAGATTATCCTAAATTAACCCCTAAACGATACACATTGCAGGGGAAGATGAGGTAGAGAAAGAATTGTGCACCTGAGGCGAGCAAAGGTTTCCACTCTGAGTATTCAGAGTTGATGTTACCAGTGTGTTTGCATTTGTGTATTGTGTTCACACATTGAGTGCTACTATATACAAGACCATGTGTCAGACACTGAGGTAACAGGAATGGTCACTAGACAGAGTTCATAGCTATGGAGGCAAGAAGATTCACTGACTGCTAATTCTAACCTGATGTGACGGTGCAACTAGAAAAACATAAACAAGCACCATTGTGAGCACAAGGAAGATGCACATCAACTCCTTACAGGCACCTGTAAAAGCTAGAGGGTAACAGTTGGGTTGCACCTTGAAGAGGATGCAAGTTTTTTGTCTTTAAACAGAGTCTCACTCTGTTGCCCAGGCTAGAGTGCAGGGGGGCAATCAGGGTTCACTGCAATCTCCACCTCCTGGGTTCAAGTGATTCTCCTAACTCAGCCTCCTAAGTAGCTGAGACTAGAAGCAAGTGCCATAACACTCAGCTAATTTTTGTATTTTCAGTAGAGACAAAGTTTCACCATGTTGGCCAGGCTTGTCTCGATCTTCTGACCTCAAATGATCCGCCGGCCTCAGCCTCCCAAAATGCTCGGACTATAGGCGTGAGCCACCACACCTGGCCTGGATGTAAAATTTTGATAGGTAGAGAACAAGGAAAAGACTTTCCAGAAGGAACAGGATAAACACAGGCATTACATGTTTCCACAAGGGCAACTGGCCCTAAATGACTAGAATATAAGTTAGATCCAGTAGGAAAGGACTTAGAAGGAGCTTGGGAAGGTGAACCTAGAATTAAAATTGGAGTAAATGTGACGACTCTGAACACCATATACTGCTAAAGATGCTAATGTCTACATCCTGAAGGTAATGGAAAAACTTCCTGAGGTTTATGTTATTTTCTTTCTACTTATGCTATTTGAAAAGTGGAGTAACAGCCAGGTGCTGGGGCTCACACCTGTAATCCCAGCACTTTGGGAGGCCAAGGCAGGCAGACTGCCAGAGGTCAGGAGTTCAAGACCAGCTTGACCAACATGGCAAACCCTGTATCTACTAAAAATACAAAAATTAGCTGGGCATGGTGGTGGGCACCTGTAATCCAACTACTCGGGAGGCTGAGGCAGGAGAATGGCTTGAACCCAGGAGGCAGAGGTTGCAGTGAGCCCAGATTTCACCACTGTACTCCAGCCTGGACAACAATAAGATTCCATCTCAAAAAGACACCCTGTCCCCCCAGAAATGTGGAGTGACATACTTAGTTTATTATTTTGTTGTTGTTGTTGTTTTGTTTTGTTTTTGAGAAGGAGTGTCACTCTTGTTACCCAGGCTGGAGTGCAATGGTGCGATCTCGGCTCACCGCAACCTCCGCCTCCTGGGTTCAGGCAATTCTCCTGCCTCATCTCCTGAGTAGCTGGGATTACAGGCACGTGCCACCATGCCCAGCTAATGTTTTGTATTTTTAGTAAAGACGGGGTTTCACCATGTTGACCAGGATGGTCTCGATCTCTTGACCGCATGATCCACCCATCTCGGCCTCCCAAAGTGCTGGGATTACAGGCTTGAGCCACCGCGCCCGATGGAGTGACATACTTAGATCTCTGTTTTGGAATGACAGGATTTTTGTTTTTTCTTCCTAACTCACATGAACTGGCAGAATGATAGGTATTTTAGAATGAAGGGTGGATTGGAAAAAGAAGAGATTAGGGGCAGAGACACTAATTTTAAGGCAAAGGCAATGCTCCAGGTTAAAAATGATGATGACCACAATTAGAGCAGTGCAAAGAGACAGAGATAGCTGGGGGAGACATTTCAGGATAGAATCAATAGGCCTTAGTGAATAATTGAATATAAGAAATGAGGGAGAAGCATCAATCCAAGGTTCATGGCTTGAGGTGTACTGCCAGCAATGCCATTAACCAGCAAAGGGAATGCAGGAAGAGGAACAGATCTGGTGGGCATCAGTTTGGATGCTCTGAGTTTGAGCTGCCTGTGAAAACTGCAGGTGGTGATATGCAATTAACATTCACATATGGAGTTCAAAACTAGAAGTCATCGCAGAAATTTGAAGTGTGTTTTCTATAACTAAAGATAACCATGCTAACATAGCCATGTGTTACGATAGCTTTTTTTTTTTTTTTGAGACAGAGTCTCACTCTGCTGCCCAGGCCGTAGTGCAGTCGTACAATCTCAGCTCACTGCAACCTCCACCTCCTGGGTTCAAGCGATTCTCCTGCATTAGTTTCCCTAGTAGCTGGGATTATAGGCACCTACCACCACACCGAGCTAATTTTTGTATTTTAGTAGAAACAGGGTTTTACCATGATGGCGAGGCTGGTCCTTGACCTCAAGTGATTCACCCGCCTTGGCCTCCCAGAGTGCTGGGATTACAGGTGGAGCTATCCTGCCTGACCTTATATTTTTTGTGTTTTTTTTTCTGCTGCCTGTATGTGTGCAAGTCTATATATCATCAATGGGTATATGTGAATCTGTGTTGACAACAAAAAATAACATGAATACCAGCTACCACATATGGCTGTTATAAGGATGAAATGCATCTAGCCAGTGCTCGTGCTCAGTAAAGGGCAGTTGTTTTATTACTACTAGGTGGGGTGATGTGTGAGAATCCATATACTGCCATTAGCAGGCTTTAGTATGTAGTGTGCACATGGAATTCATGCATTAGTCTATATTATGTATGGGATACTAACTCACCTGAGCAGCTTCTCTCCCCACTTACAGCGGCATCTGTTGAGGATTCCTGTGAGGGATAAGTCAGGGAGTGAGCTTGTTACAAGGCAGGGGCAGGGAATGGAATATATACATGTGTCTAAGCTGAGGCATCCAGGTCAGAGGTGTTGTTTGTTGAGGAGGCTGGCCTGGGAGGGCACAAGTCTGGTGCCTCGCCACAAATATGAGTTGGGATTACTGTACATGGAGATGGGGAAAGGGATGGACACTCACAGGGACACTCAGCCAGAAAAATACACAAAGCAAGTATAGCTAAAACTCAAGGGCCCTCCTACCCCTGCATCAGAAAAAACCCCAAAACTCAAGAGCAGCTGGGCTCGGTGGCTCATGCCTGTAATCCCAGCACTTTGAGAGGCCAAGGTGGGCAGATCACTTGAGGTCAGGAGTTCAAGACCAGCCTGACCAACATGGAGAAACCCAATCTCTACTAAAAATACAAAATTAGCTGGGCATGGTAGTGCATGCCTGTAATCCCAGCTACTTGCGGGGCTGAGGCAGGAGAATCGCTTGAACCCAGGAGTCAGAGGTTGCAGTGAACTGAGATTGCGCCATTGCACTCCAGCCTGGGCAACAAGAGCAACACTGTCTCAAAAACAAAAATAAAAGCCGGGCGCGGTGACGCATGCCTGTAATCTCAGCACTTTGGGAGGCCGAGGCAGGCAGATCACAAGGTCAGGAATTTGAGACCAGCCTGGCCAACATGGTGAAAACCCTATTTTTGTCTCTACTAAAAATACAAAAATTAGCCGGGCATGGTGGCACACACCTGTAATCTCAGCTGCTCAGGAGGCTGAGGCAGGAGAATCACTTGAACCCATGAGAAGGAGGTGGCAGTGAGCCGAGATTACATAACTGCACACTCCAGCCTAGGCAACAGAGTGAGACTTCATCTCTAAATAAATAAATAAAATAAAATAAATAAAATTTTAAAAAACTCAAGAGCTGGCCAGGAATGGTGGCTCACACCTATAGCACTTTGGGAGGCCAAGGCAGGTGGATCACTTGAACTCAGGAGTTTGAGACCAGCCTGGACAACATGGTGAAACACCATCTCTACTAAATATACAAAAAGAATTAGCTGGGCATGGTGGTGCAGGCCTGTATTTCCATTTATTGGGAGGCTGAGGTATCGTGAAGCAGGAGAATCACTTGAACCCAAGAGGCAGAGGTTGCAGTGAGCCAAAATTGGGTCACTGCACTCCAGCCTGGGTGACAGAGCAAGATTCCATCTTAAAAAAAAAAAAAAAAATGGCCGGGCGCGGTGGCTCAAGCCTGTAATCCCAGCACTTTGGGAGGCCAAGGTGGGTGGATCACGAGGTCGAGAGATCGAGACCATCCTGGTCAACATGGTGAAACCCCGTCTCTACTAAAAATACAAAAAATTAGCTGGGCATGGTGGCGCCTGCCTGTAATCCCAGCTACTCAGGAGGCTGCGGCAGGAGAATTGCCTGAACCCAGGAGGCGGAGGTTGCGGTGAGCCGAGATGGCGCCATTGCACTCCAGCCTGGGTAACAAGAGCGAAACTCCGTCTCAAAAAAAAAAAAAAATGTGCCGGGCCCGGTGGCTCAAGCCTGTGATCCCAGCACTTTGGGAGGCCGAGGCGGGTGGGTCACGAGGTCAAGAGATGGAGACCATCCTGGTCAACATGGTGAAACCCCGTCTCTACTAAAAATACAAAAAAATTAGCTGGGCATGGTGGCACGTGCCTGTAATCCCAGCTACTCAGGAGGCTGAGGCAGGAGAATTGCCTGAACCCAGGAGGTGGAGGTTGCGGTGAGCCGAGATGGCGCCATTGCACTCCAGCCTGGGTAACAAGAGCGAAACTCCATCTCAAAAAAAAAAAAAAAATGTGCCGGGCACGGTGGCTCACGCCTGTAATCCCAGCACTTTGGGAGGCCGAGGAGGGTGGATCACGAGGTCAAGAGATCGAGACCATCCTGGTCAGCACAGTGAAACCCCGTCTACTAAAAATACAAAAATCAGCCGGGCGCGGTGGCTCAAGCCTGTAATCCCAGCACTTTGGGAGGCCGAGGCGGGTGGATCACGAGGTCGAGAGATTGAGACCATCCTGGTCAATATGGTGAAACCTCGTCTCTACCAAAAATACAAAAAATTAGCTGGGCATGGTGGCTCGTGCCTGTAATCCCAGCTACTCAGGAGGCTGAGGCAGGAGAATTGCCTGAACCCAGGAGGCGGAGGTTGCGGTGAGCCGAGATCGCGCCATTGCACTCCAGCCTGGGTAACAAGAGCGAAACTCCGTCTCCAAAAAAAAAAAAAAAAATGTAAGAGCCCAACACACATATGTCAAAAACTGGACACAACCTACTGAGATATGAAACCATATGAATATTTGGGGAGATGTCCCTAATATATCCTAAAGCCAGAGACAACTGATACTCTATACGAATCAAATAGGCAGTTATACAGTTACAAAACTCTCCTATATACACAAGGCCTCCCAAAGTCCCTCACAGGTAGCAGTCCATTCATATAAACCCAGGGAAGGAACACAGAATTCGTAAAGTAATGACTCACATGCAACAACATTGTACAGCCACAAAGTATGGGGAGACGCTGAAGCTCAGGATGAGTACAAAGAGGATAAGAAAGTTGGATTATTGTGGAAGAAACATCTGACAATGAGAGTGAAGTGGGAAGAGAGGCTGGGACACATCTTTGGAGCCAATTGCTTTTCTGGTAGGTCTCTGTAATGTAAGGGGTGGGGCACACCTACCAAAGAGGCTGAGCCCCTCCTTCAGTCCACTGGCCACTTTGTATACTGAGGGGTGAGACTCGCTCTTAAAGATCTGCAGAACACTGTCAAGGAAAAATGGAGGAGTTTGGGGTAACTTAGATGTTTGAAGGGAATGAGAATTGAGGGCTGAGAAATGGAAGGGTTTGGGGTAACTTGGATTTTGAAGGGAATGAGGATTGAGGACTGAGAAAATGGAATGGGAACAGGGGATATCCTCAGGCTGGAGTGCTGTGATGCAATCTCAGCTCACTGCAATCTCCACTTCCTGGGTTCAAGCTATCCTCCTGCCTCAGCCTCCTGAGTAGCTGGGATTACAGGCACAAACCAACATACCCACTAATGTTTGTATTTTTAGCACAGATGGGGTTTCACCATATTGGTCAGGCTGGTCTCAAACTCCTAACCTCAGGTAATCCACCCATCTCAGTCTCCCAAAGTGCTGGGATTACAGGTATGAGCCACCGCGTCCGACCAAGATCACATCTTGATGTAAGGTTTGTCCCTTACTTTTCTTTGCCTCAGTTTCTCCTTATAGAAAATAAGGCTAATACCTTTATGCTTTCTGCTTTTCTTCCTCTCTTCCCCTCAAAGCCCCCCTTCCCTTTCCTTCAAGGAGAGAGATCTTAATAGCCCCAGGATTAGGGAAACTAGAGCCTCATTAGGATTATTGGGGCATTAAACTTAATCCTTCTCCCTCCCCAGAGACAGCAGCATGCCTCCACCTCTTTACCTGTAAGTGTCTTGATCTATGTTCACCAGATGAGTCCTGAGGACAGAAAACAAGCAGGAAGGTGGCTGGAGTATGAGGGGTCTGAGTTCATTCCCAAAATCTACCTCCTTTGTCCCCCTCTCTGAATAGTGCCCAGTCTTATTCCCAAAGTTACACACCTCCTTAGGTTCTCCTGGGTGTCCTAGAGCACTTTACCCACTAGGTCACAGCCACATCCACACCCGACTCCCACTTTACTTTTCAGGCCTCCCAATCCCACATTACTTTGGTTGGGGTTGGGGTGAATCACCTACAACACAAATTTCTTAAAGCCCAGGATGGGGATGCCGACGTTATAGTCTTCCAGTTCAACCCCGATTCTTCTTCGACCCAGGAACTTCAGCAGCCCTCCAAGTGCTCGAACCTGGAAGAGGATAAGCAATGGAGTGAGGGTAAATCTTAATCTCCTGGGGGCTGCAGAGCACGAGGGAAAACTATTCTTTTCTAGGGGTAGGCCAGTACCTCCCAGAACTCAGCCCTAGCACTGGGATTCTTGTGTCTCCAACCTGCCGCCTCCCAGCCCTTATTCCCCAGCACCAATCTCACTGTGAGGAGGCAGTCAAAAGGAATAACGGAGGAGAGGAAGAGAATTTTCTCAGTGGCAGTCATGGAGTCTGGGATGAAGGAATAGTTTCCAGAAAGGAGGCGTTGTTTGCTTATCTCCAGACCTATTTGAGGGAGGCAAGCAAAGGGAAAGGTCTTGTAGCTCAATTTTTTCACCCCATTTTAAGAACGAAACAATAGAAGCCAGAGAGATGATTTGACTTGCCCACGTTCACATGAGCAGTTAATGGAAAGCTAAAGCAAGAACCAAATTTTCAGACTCTTAGTCTAATTCTCTTCTTAGTCTTCTTTTTTTTTTTTTTAAATGGAGACGGGGTCTCGCTATGTTGCCCAGGCTGGAGTGCAGTGGCTATTCACAGATGCTATCTCACTACTGATCGGCATGGGAGTTTTGACTTGCTCCGTTTCCAACCTGGGCCGGTTCACCCCTCCTTAGGCAACCTGGTGGTCCCCGACTCCCGGGAGGTTACCATAAGGATGCTGAACTTAGTGTGGATACCCAATTGGCACAGCACACTACAACCCAGAACTCCTGGACTTAAGAGATCCTCCAGCCTCAGCCTCCCAAGTAGCTGGGACTACAGGCACGTGCCATGGTACCCAGCTTCTCTTCTTATTCTACATGTAATATAAAGATACTTGGCTGAAAGCACAACCTGAGAAAAATAAATGGCTGAGGAAAGTAAGATATCTGTCTCGAATTGGGGATTTTGGCCAAAAAGATGGTATTAATAGAGGAACTAATAGCACTAATGCCTTAATATCTATTTAGGATAGTACACTCCCTGTTCTTGTTGTAAACCTAGGAAGCTTATGGCAGTGCCTTATGGATCATAAGGGTCACTGAGGCAGTGCCTTTTGGTTTTGTGATTAAAAAGGCTTTAACTTAATGGGGAAAATTCCAACAATAAAATCTGTCCAAAAAGTGTCACCACTACTCAGGGGAGGCCCTCATCCCTAGACGTGTCTTAAGCAGAGGCTTCACAATAAGCTGCAGATTATTAAAGGGTAGGGAGCAGGAGAGATCTTGCGGGGACCGGTCACAGGGCATGAGGAGCACAAAGGTTTACAGTGAGATAGGGCAGAGGGGAGGGCTATGATGATGAAGGTAGAGTTTGGGGGAAAGGATGGAACACGGGAACAGGGAGTTGGGCAAAGCAAAAGGAAGGAAATACCAAAATCCACACTTGGCAAAAATATGATTTCAGGTCTCTTGGGCTCTCTGTGCTCCTGGGAGGCTGTGGGAGAAGCAAAGAAAAGGCTATCATTGTGTACATCTCAGTCCTTCTACCTTTGTCTGACACTCTCTCTCACACAGTTCTAGGCCCCTGGAACATTCCATACATGAGTCCTTCCCCATTTTCCCTCTCTCCTTTGCCAAGTCCTTACCAAGCTTTCCCAGAAACCGAGTCATAGTCTCATCCTGCTTGGCACTCGTAACAACAGATTGGGGATTGATCTCGTCCAGAACTTGGAAGAATAGAGACCAAATGAGTTAAAGGATCTGTCTTTGACTAAGAGAAAACCCATAGCCCTCCTTTTCCTACTCCTATACTCAAAAACATTTCCTCCCTAGGAGTAGGGAGTGCTCTGCATATTGGGAACATAGGTAGAAGTTAGGAATGAGATTTAGAAAATTAGTAAGAGTGATGGGATGATGGGACGGAAGAAGGGTGCTCTGGATATTGTCGCTAGACTGTAAACCCCTGGAGAACAAACATGACTGATTTACCCAGGACTATATCTGCAGCACCTTAAACATTGTGAATACCTCACAAATACTTCTGGCCGGGCGCAGTGGCTCATGCCTGTAATCCCAACACTGGGAGGCCAAGACAGGCAAATCACTGGAGGCCAGGAGCTCAAGACAAGCCTGGTCAATGTGGTGAAACACCATCTCTACTAAAAATATAAAAATTAGCCAGGTGTGGCAGCACATGCCTGTAATCCCTGCTAGTCAGGAGGCTGAGGCAGAAGAATCACTTGAACCTAGGAGGCAGAGATTGTACCACTGCACTCCAGCCTGATCAACAGAGTGAGACACTGTCTCAAACAAAACAAAACAAAACAAAACAAAACAAAACCTCACAAATATTTGTTAAATAATGACATGAATTCCTAAAAACAACAGATGGAGCTTCTGTGAGGCAACTATATATTGAGTCAGTGCTATAGTCTGGATATGATTTGTCCCCACCAAATCTCATATTGAAATTTAATCCCCAGTGTGATAGTGTTGGGAGGTAGGGCCTTGAAGGTGGTGTTGGGGTGATGGGAGTAGATTTCTCATGAACAGATTAATCCCCTTCCTGGAGTGTGTTGGTGGGTATGTTGTGAGTGGTTCGCACTCTATTAGTTCCTGAGAGAGCTGACTGTCAAAAAGAGCCTGGCATCTCCCTCCCCCTTGCTTTCTCTCTGACATAGGACCTCTATACACCCTGCCTTCCCTTCTTTCATGAGTTGAAGCAGCCTAAGGCCCTCATCAAATGAAGATGCCCAATTTCAAGCTTTCTGACCATCCAGAATCATAAGCCAAATAATTTTTTTTTTTTTGGCTGGGCATGGTGGTTCATGCCTATAATCCCAGCACTTTGGGAGGCCGAGGCGGGTGGATCACCTGAGGTCAGGTGTTCGAGACCAGCCTGACCAACATGGAGAAACCCTGTCTCTACTAAAAATACAAAATTAGCCAGGCAAGGTGGTGCATGCCTGTAATCCTAGCTACTCAGGAGGCTGAGGCAGGAGAATCGTTTGAACCTGGGAGGTGGAGGTTTCAGTGAACTGAGATTGTGCCACTGTACTCCAGCCTGGACAAGAGTGAGACTCCAACTCAAAAAAAAAAAGGGGTTTCTTTTTTTAAATTACCCAGACTCAGGTATTCCTTTACAGCAATACAAAATACACTAGACAGTGAGGTGAGCTAATATAAGTAAAACATGGCTGGGTGTGATGGCTCACACCTATAATCCCAGCACTTTGGGTGGCGAGGTGGGTCAAATCACAAGGTCAGGAGTTCAAGATCACCCTGGCCAACATGGTGAAACACCATCTCTACAAAAAACCAAAAAAATTAGCTGGGTGTGGTAGTGTCTGCCTGTAATCCCAGCTACTGGGGAGGTTGAGGCAGGAGAATTGCTTGAACCCAGGAGGCAGAGGTTGCAGTGAGCCAAGATGGTGCCACTGCACTCCAGCCTGGGCAACAGAGCAAGACTCTGTCTTGGAAAACAACAACAACAACACACACACACACATGCACACACACACACATATATATGTATACACATATTTTTTGTGTTTCGTGTGTGTGTGTGTGTGTGTGTCACACATTTCTAATCCCAAAGAGCAGAGGAATTCATGGTTCTGTCCCCACCTCTCTGGAGAAGCTTGAGGCTCTCGTGGTCTGGGGCATCTGGCATGAAGTGGATAGTGGAGTCACTAGTGTCATAGTAGGCAATGCCCAAGTATCCTGAATTCCACAGCACACACAGATGGATCTGTCCAGCAAGGAAGAAAGGAAGCCACTGTTTGAACCACTCATGAGCGTTAAGGTTTGCCATGCCTTATGTAATTAAATAATTTAATCTTATCTCTGAGATAGGCATCATTTAGTGACTGTGAAAAAGCCACTCAGGAGGTAAGAGACTTGCCCAGTTGTTTCCAACCCTCTTTTTTTTTTTTGCGATGGAGTCTTGCTCTGTCGTCCAGGCTGGGGTACGACGGCGCAGTCTCCGCCCACTGCAACCTTCGCCTCCCAGGTTAGAGCGATCCTCCTGCTTCCACCTTCCCCTAGCTGGAACTACAGGCACGCGCCACACACCCGGCTGATTTTTTTGTGTTTTTAGTGGAGACGGGGTTTCACCGTGTTGTAACCAGGCTGGTCGGGAACCCCTGAGCTCAGATGCTGCGCCCGCCACGGCCTCCCCGAGTGCTGTGGAATCGGAGCCACCGCCCACGGCCCCCAACCCTCTTTTAACTTTCCATCCACGCTCCATCCAGGTTCCCCTCAGAGACCTCGGCCGGCTCCTCCTCCTCCTCGCCTCCCTCTTCCTCGGCCTCCCTGGGGGCCGGCACTGCGGCCGGGCTGGGGAAGCGGGCGGGGGCCTCTCTAGGTCCCGATCCCTGCGGCGTCCTGCTTGGGGTCGCTCCTAAGGAGGCCATGAGCCTGGAGCCTCTGCGGATGCGAAAAGCGAGGGCAAGTCAGAAGCGACGCTCCACGGAGGCCGGGGAAGGTAATGAACTGAGTACTTCCGCGGCAGGGCTGAGGGGCGTGGAGCGCTGTGGACGCGGGTATGGGTACATGCTGAGGGGCTGGATTGTCGGGTATTTAACTAAAGCACTGATTGTGGGAAACTCCGCGCGCCCCATCCTCATTTCTGTCACGCGGAGGTTGTGCTTCGGCAGAGGTCTGAGGGTCCTATGGAGCGAGTCGTGCACGTCTTATATCTCTGCCTCTGCTAGCCACGCGCCGGGACCACAGCCTCACGCTCTTATCTTCCTCCTCCCCCACGCTGCCTCCATTGCAGCGTTTTCCCGCCTTTTCGGTCACCTAGGTCGCGACACGCCAGAGAACGCCCCACTGACCAACCGCCTAGAGTCTGCGGGAGGGACGCGCCGGTGCGTGAGCGTGGTGCGCGCGCACACGCCCCGCCGTCCTAGCCGCTATTGATTGTAGAGGCCGGGATCCAGCCCAGAGATCCGACAGAGTGAGGAGGAGGGCCGTTGCTGAAGAGTGTGGACGCTGATTGGCCTATTTGCATTCGGGGCGGGTCTAGAACGTTCAAACTTCCCGCCCTCTGCCGTTGCTTAGCAGCCGCGCCTATAGCCCTCAGGGTTTCTGGACTTTGATTGGCAGAATGGGAAGCCCGCGAGAAGGTCGGATGAGGGGCTGCAGTCCCAGTCCCTGGAACCGTTCTGGGAGCGTCGCGGGGGTATGAGGAGGCCAACCTTAAAGAGCCAGAGGCGCGCTTTTTTTTTTCTGCAACAACTCTAAGTTAATATTTGTACCCTCTGAGTTAATATTTATACAGAGCTTAGAAGTGCCTGGCAAACAAAGTAAGATCTACTTGAGCGGTGTTTCAAATAAATAAGAGGAAACAAGCAAGACTCCTGTCTTAGGGCTACCTTGTCTGTTTCCTGGGTGCAGGGTATGACCACTCCCATAATGGCACAACGGGGCCTAATTTATTATTTAAACCCCTCAAGTGGAGGTGGAAGCATTTGAAATACACCGAATTCTGGCAGAGACAAGTAGTTCTGAACACCACACCCCTCTCTATTGGGATATGCCCATACCCCTTTACACATCTGCACACCCCTGAATACTAGAGAGGTATCATTCATGCATTCAGCAACTATTTATTTAGTGCCTATTCTGGAACAGGGCATGGACTCAAAGCGGTGAACATAATGAAGTCCCTGCTCCATAAAGCTTGTTTGTGCGTGTGTGTGTGTGTGTGTGTGTGTGTGTGTTTGTGTGTTGGGGGTGAAGTTATGAGAGAGAAATATATATATATATATAAAATCCCTTAAAATGCACCATCCTCCCCAGCTTTGTTCTCACTACCCTGAGATGGGGAGAGTCCTCCCCAGCCCCCCAACTCAAGAAGTTAGGAACGATGGTGGGGGTAAGATGACCTAGCTGTGCTAACCAGTAATTGGAACATCCCCTCCAGCAAGAAAGGTGGGGGAACAGAGTTAAGAGCTGGGTTAATGGTTACCCCTGGCAAATTTGTTGAGCAATGGAGCTATAGAAACTTGCAGGAGGTTGGTGACAGATCTGGGGAGTGTCAGGGAGGGACCCGCCTTCCAATCTGAGGTGTGAAGAGATTAGGGACTGGTTTACCAAGCCCAGGAAAGGGAGGGAGTGGAAACAAAAGCCCAGAGAGGGAAAGAGGAGATACTGAAATAGAAGAAATGCAGGGACAAGGAGGTGAGATGGAGGGAAACTTATGATGCAGGATATGGGGGACAACCCTGGCCTCAAATCCACGAGGCTCTGCTGGATGGTTCCTGGAGAGGGCATCCTTGCCTGTCACTTGGTAAATTAAGGCATGATTGGGTAGTCATGCCAGCCAGCCAAAGTCAATATTGGTATCAAGGCAGCTGTAGCTATAAAGCTGTAGGAGAGAAAAGAGAGGCTGCCAAACCTGTTTGATCCTCAAGCTGGCTCCATTTACATAAGGTTTCTCTTCGACACAGATCAGTTGGAACAGGAGAGGACCCTGAGAAGTAGAGCTGCTTTGATCTCCTCCCCGCCATGGGAAGGGGTCCTGTGTGCAGATTTTGAGGGTCACAGTGGAGGGGATTCACACACACACACAGTCATGGAGTCATTCTATATCCTTACAGGACGTTACAGTTCAAGGGAATGAACACCAAAGATAGCCCTTCTGTTGGGAGGAGAGAAAAAGGCCCCTCCCACAGGCAGGAGGAAACCCACAGAAGAGGAAGCACAAGAGGAAACCACCAACTGCTGGTTTCTAGCAACACATCACGTCACTCCACCTCACTCCTCCCCCAAGTCTCTCCCTTTCTTTAAGTTTCAAGCCCTGTTTATTTTGTTTGTTTGTTTGTTTTCTTTTTTGAGACGGGGTCTCGTTCTGTTGCCCAGGCTGGAATGCAGTGGTGAGATCTCGGCTCACTGCAACCTCCGCCTTCTGGGTTCAGGGGATTCTCCTGCCTCAGTCTCCTGAGTAGCGGGGATTACAGGCACACACCACCACGCCCAGCTAATTTTTGTATTTTTAGTAGAGACGGGGTTTCACTGTGTGGTCAGGCTGGTCTCGAACTCCTGACCTCGTGATCCGCCCTCTTGAGCCTCCCAAAGTGCTGGGATTACAGGCATAAGCCACTGCGCCAGCCAAGCCCTGTTTTCTTCTGTGTTCTTGTACTCCACCATGGTTTTCTGGAACTGTAGGTCTTTTGTTAGAGAGTGATGAGGAAGAAAGAGAAGAGATGGTTGGACAGGAGAGAAATTCAGGATATGGAAGCTGGAATTCTGGAGGTATTTTTCAGCAGATCATAAAACGTTTAATAGAAATCAAGTTTACTGAGGAGAGCTGCTTTTCCTGTGTCCTCCCTGTTTATTTATTTAGGTGTCCCCAAGGACTCCACTCACACTATTCTGTCTGATCTTTGCTTTATCCCCATGACAGGACCAGCTAACAACACCCCTACCCCATCACCCACACACATACCTCAGGATTGTGGCAGCTCTATCCCAGAGCCGTGATAATCCCACCCCTCTGCCCCATCTCCAAGGCAACCTGTCAGTGAGAAGAGGACAAAGGGCACAGGAATGGGCCCCAATAGGAAGGATAGGTGGAAGCACAAAGCTGACCAAGCTATAGGAATAGACCTCCATCTGCAACAAAGTCCCTTGCCTCAGCTTCTTTTTTCCTTAGCACAAGATTAGGTCATCTCCCTTCCCATCCCTATCATCCCTAACTACTTTCTTTTTCTTTCTTTCTTTTTTTTTTTTTTGAGACAGAGTGTTGCTCTTGTTACCCAGGCTGGAGTGCAATGGCGCGATCTCGGCTCACCGCAACCTCCGCCTCCTGGGTTCAAGCAATTCTCCTGCCTCAGCCTCCTGAGTAGCTGGGATTACAGGCACGAGCTACCATGCCCAGCTAATGTTTTGTATTTTTAGTAGAGACGGGGTTTCACCATGTTGACCAGGATGGTCTCGATATCTCGACCTCGTGATCCACCCGCCTCGGCCTCCCAAAGTGCTGGGATTACAGGCTTGAGCCACCGTGCCCGGCCTATTACTTTCTTTTTCTTTTCTTCCTTTCTTTTCTTTTCTTTCTTTCTTTCTTTCTTTCTTTCTTTCTTTCTTTTTTTTAGACAGACTTTTGCTCTTGTTACCCAGGCTGGAGTGCATTGGCACCAACTAGGCTCACTGCCAACTTCAACTCCCAGATTCAAGCAATTCTCCTGCCTCAGCCTCCTGAGTAGCTGGGATTACAGGTGCCCACCACCACGCCCGGCAAATTTTTGTATTTTAGTAGAGATGGGGTTTTGCCATGTTGGCCAGGCTGGTCTCAAACCCCTGACCTAAAGTGATACACCCACCTTGGCCTCCTAACGTGCTGGGATTGTGCTGGGATTACAGGCATGAGCCACCCCGCCCAGCCCCTAACTCTACTTCCATCCCAAGTCTAGGCCTCAAGGTCTGCAACTCTTAGGCAAGTCTTAGTGCTGAGCTGGGCCCAGGGACAGTAGACTGTGTAGGGCACAGGAGCCACTGAGACACACCATCTGGGCAGCTCAGCGAGTGCTGGCATCACCTCTTCCCTAATCCCAGGCTGCACAGCTAACGGTTCCTATTCCCAATCCCAGACTTCCACTTCCAAGTTCTTCTCTCAGACTACAGCCCCGGCAACCCAGAATTTGGATTGGCGTCCAGAAGAAATGCAGGATTAAACGACCACCTTTCATTCTAAGACCCCATCCCTGAATCTTCATGAGTATTCCCAAGCTGTTAGTGTCGTTTTTTGTATGAGGGTCAGTCGGGTTATACGCAAATTAATGAAGCAGGGAAACTGAGGCAGAAAAAAGTCCTGCGTTCAGGAGTGATCGGAGAAACAAGGAGGTTTTCAGGACTGCTCCCTAACACTCCCATCCCTATCCGGTGGAAGATCCGAGGATTCTGCCTCCGGACCCACTCCCTACCTCGTCGAGTCCCGCCCCCCTCCAGTCCCCTCCCCAGGTTCAGGGCGGGGCCGGTCGGTGAGTCAGCGGCTCTCTGATCCAGCCTGGGAGGCGACCGAGCTGGAGGAGCTGGGTGTGGGGTGCGTTGGGCTGGTGGGGAGTCTGAGAGCAAACAGGGTCTGATTGGGCTTGTGTTGCGCCGAAGGGACGGCCCTGGGTCTAGGGGAGAGAATCCCTGAGTGTGAGACCCGCCTTCCCTGGCCCCAGCCCCTCCCAGTTCCCCCAGCGACGGCCACTTCCTGGTCCCCGACGCAACCATGGCTGAAGAACAACCGCCGGTCGAATTGTTCGTGAAGGTAAGAACACTTCTCTCCTCAGCCACTCAGATTCCTGGAAGCCAGCTCTCACCTTTCCCCCGGTCCAGCCTTAACTCCCCAATCCCTTCCCTCCTTGACTCCCACCCCGAATCCCACGTGCACCCTTTGGTTCAGGGGTAGTTTGGGGAGGGGAAGACCTTAACTTGTTAGCAGGTAATAAGAATTCTAGAATCAACCCTGAAAAGTTTGTAAAAGTGCAAGTTTCTAGCAACCGAAAGGGAGGGAAGTAGAGAAAAAGAATTCCCAAAAGTGAGACTGCAGTGGGGTGGGGGTGGGGGAGGCGAGCTGATGAAGGGACAGTGGAGGCCCAGCAGAGTTTAGAAAGGGCAGAGGGGAACCTCGGTTAGGACATGTGGCCCTATAAGATCTGAGGGTGAGTAGTGTAGTAGGGGAGGGGTGTGTGTGGCTGGGTGTGTTGGGGGAGGCCTGAGAGTGAGAGCAAGTACCCTGGGACGCTTTGGAGGGGTGGAACAAAGCCAGAGACTGGGATTGGAGTTCAGAAAGCAGAGCTGGAGAGGTGATGGGGTGGTATCGACTATCCCCCCGACTGGGGAAAGGGAGAGAAGGGGAGGCGGCAAGGAGACCTGAGTTTAACGTAGCTACCACTAGGATGGGTGGGAGAGAGATCAGGCGGAAGGAGAGCTCGGTTAGGGCATTTTGGGATTTGGGGGTTGGAGAAGCAGGAGATTTGCCCCAACTCTCTCCTCTCTCTTCGGGTGTGGGTGAGGAGAGATGGTCCTATGGCATTTGGGTACCAAAACTGCCGGCGGCAGGCTTCTGGGCGTCGCCTGGCTCCCCTCCGACTCTGGCGGCCGCTCCCCTCCCGACCGCTGCTGCATTCTTTCCCCAGCCTCGGGACCTCCTGTCTGTGCCCCTCCCTCCCTTCCGTAACAGTGTCCCTTCTCCCTGCTCCGTTGGTGTCTCCCTGTTGGCACGAATGTCTCACTTTCCTGCTGCCTTTCTTTCCACTTCCCGGGACCCTTTTGTTCTCTCATCTTTGTATCTCTGCCTGCGTCTCCCTCTCCCTTCTGCTTGGGTGTCCTGGGCAGCCATTCCCTCTCCCCGGGCCGGGGAAGTCGGAGCGTGCCTGGGTCCGCCCCCTTAGGTGTGGTCCCCACCTCACTCTCACACTGGCCTCTGGGGCTATTTTTACTCCTGGGTGAGACCGTGCCGCAGAGATTCTGGCCCTGTGTCCTGTGCGAGGATGGTTATCTGCAGTAGGAGGACTCGTGCTGGGAAACCCTGGCAGCAGGTTCGGAGGTGGCCTTAGCTGCCCGGGCCTCATCCTCACACGTCCCTTCCCCCACTTCCTTGACAGGAAGGAAGCTGCTGAGGCCCGAGACAGAGATGAATCACCCTCAGCTTAGGGGGAGGTGTCCCTTGGGCCAATGAGGTCACCACTTGCTAATTAGAGGGCCATCCCCCTCTGTAGGGCCCTCCACATCTCTAGAGCTCTGGCTCCCAAACCTCTCCTGTCTAGAGACTCTGCTTCCTTCAGGAACCCAGAAATCCAGGCTTCTGGCCTGTAACTCTGGCCTCACTGAAGTTCCACACACTTCCCTCTAGGGTAGGATGCAGATCCTCCAAGTTCTCCAGGACCTCTTCCCTCTGCCTCCCTCCCACTGTCCTCAGTCTCTGGGGAACCAGAAGCCTGCCTTTGCAAAAAAATTTCCCATTGATCTGCTTTCGGTTTGACCCAGGCCCAAGGGCAAAGAGTCCATGGAGTGAGGGGACAGTGTATGTGTCATGACTAGGCAGAAAGCAGCTGGTCTGGGAGTGGGAGTGCAGAGACTGGCCTGGGGGTGGGTGGGGTGCACCAGGCATAACCTTGGGCTGGGGTTGCTTTTCAGGCTGGCAGTGATGGGGCCAAGATTGGGAACTGCCCCTTCTCCCAGAGACTCTTCATGGTCCTGTGGCTCAAAGGAGTCACGTTCAACGTTACCACAGTTGACACCAAGAGGTAGGCCTGCTTCTGTTCCTCAAAACACCCCTTGTGTACACATGTGTGCGAACACACACTCACCCCCCTGAGTCCTTCTATCTTGAACATTTTTGCCGTCCTCCTTGGAGTCCCTTTCTTATCCTACATCCCTCCATCTCCACTTTCTGGTTCTCCCTGACCCCCATTTCCAGTCCTGATGCCTGGCCCTTTCTCCAGGCGGACCGAGACAGTGCAGAAGCTGTGCCCAGGAGGGCAGCTCCCATTTCTGCTGTATGGCACTGAAGTGCACACAGACACCAACAAGATTGAGGAATTTCTGGAGGCAGTGCTATGCCCTCCCAGGTATGGGGACACTCAGAAAGGGGAGAGGTGGCAGCACAGAGAGATTCTAGGAAACAGACAGTTTGCAGAAATGGAAAACAGAGATGATGATGGGGCTGGAGTAGGGGAGCTAGTTGAGCTTCCTCCCAGGAAGATATCTTACCTCATTTTTCCCATTGGCTTTCAGGTACCCCAAGCTGGCAGCTCTGAACCCTGAGTCCAACACAGCTGGGCTGGACATATTTGCCAAATTTTCTGCCTACATCAAGAATTCAAACCCAGCACTCAATGATAGTGAGTCTTGTGGGTCAGAGGCCTGGGTCCTGGGAGGAATGGAGAGGACCCAGTGGGTGAGAGACATTAGGGACACCTGGAAGTTCAGATATAGGGAGATGAAACAGATGCTTGGTAAATCTCCCCCAGCTTCCCATTTTTCCTTTACCTCTATATTTGCCTGAATTTTCACTGGCCAAGACTTTTAAACATTTCTGATTTGCTCCCTAGCTTCTTCTGCCCCACTGGGGACATTAGTTGGCTGCTGGCCTATTTTCTGGCAGAATAGAGTTGTGCTTAAGAACAATCATCACTCTACATCCAGACTACCTGAGTACAAATCCAACTAGCTGTATAACTTTTTTTTATATTTTTTTTGAGACGGAGTTTCGCTCTTGTTACCCAGGCTGGAGTGCAATGGCGCGATCTCGGCTCACTGCAACCTCTGCCTCCTGGGTTCAGGCAATTCTCCTGTCTCAGCCTCCCGAGTAGCTGGGATTACAGGCACGTGCCACCATGCCCAGCTAATTTTTTGTATTTTTAATAGAGACGGGGTTTCACCATGTTGACCAGGATGGTCTCGATCTCTCAACCTCGTGATCCACCTACCTCGGCCTCCCAAAGTGCTGGGATTACAGGCTTGAGCCACTGCGCCCGGCCGAGCTGTATAACTTTTAAGCATTCATATCACCTTTCTGTAGTCCATTTCCAGATCCCAAAAAAAAAATTTTTTTTGAGATGGAGTCTCACTCTGTTGCCCAGGCTAGAGTGCAGTAGCATGATCTTGGCTCACTGCAGCCTCTGCCTCCTGGTTCCAGTGATTCTCCTGCCTCAGCCTCTCAAGTAGCTGGGATTACAGATGTGTGTCACCACACCCAGCTAATTTTTGTAGTTAGTAGAGAGGGGGTTTCACCATGTTGGCCAGGCTGGTCTCGAACTCCTGACCTCAGGTGATCCACCCACCTCAGCCTCCCAAAATGCTGGGATTACAGGCTTGAGTCACAGTGCCCGGTGAAAATAAGTTTTTAAAATGTAAAGTGCTCACTTTGGGAGGCCGAGGGGAGCAGTTAACTTGAGGTTAGGAGTTGGAGACCACCCTGGTCAACATGGCTGTTCTCTACTAAAAAAAAAAATACAAAAATATCCATGTGTTTTGGCAGGCACCTGTAATCCCAACTACTCAGGAGGCTGAGGCAGGATAATCACTTGAATCTGGGAGGCAGAGGTTGCAGTGAGCTGGGATCATGCCACTGCACTCCAGCCTGGGCAATCGAGCGAGATTCCATCTAAAAAAATTAAATAAAATGCAAAGTGCTTAGAATAGCACGTAGAAAAGTAACTACATGAGTGTTAGCTATTATTATTTTGGACTCACCATAAGTATCCACACCCAATGGGCCTTCTCAGATTATGTCAATCTTTTCCTGAAGTTCTAATCAATTCCCTCTCTTGCACAGATCTGGAGAAGGGACTCCTGAAAGCCCTGAAGGTTTTAGACAATTACTTAACATCCCCCCTCCCAGAAGAAGTGGATGAAACCAGTGCTGAAGATGAGGGCATCTCTCAGAGGAAGTTTCTGGATGGCAATGAGCTCACCCTGGCTGACTGCAACCTGTTGCCAAAGCTACACATTGTACAGGTGTGTAGTTATTATGGGAGGAAAAGATGACCACTGGGATTCGCTCCTTAAGGAGCTCAAACATGGGCTTCCCCTGACAACCACTCTAAAGACGGCTTCTTTCCTAGGGTGGTTTTCATAGATTGCTACCAATGGCAGACCCCACCCCAGTCCTTTGTGGCAGTCATTGCTGGCAAGACCACTGGTTGAGATAATTATATTCCATGAGATAAGCCATGGGTACAAAGAGACTGGCCAAGAGGAATATATCCCATGATTACTTTTGAAGAATGCTCTTCCTGTCTCGGTATCACTGCCAAATTCCCACATTAGACAGAGCAGGCTTTTCCTAGTCAAAGCTTTAACTTTCTTTATAGCTTCAGTCTTCACTTCCTCTTGTGGAAGATCAAAACTGCATATTCCCATGTTTTTGTCATAGCCTCAAAGCTATGGTTTAGTTTGTGCAACATGGGCCTGACTTCAGTCTGCCACTCTACTGTGTAGTGAATATCTATGTACTAAGCATGAAAGATACACAAGTGTATGGTGATTGGTCCTTGCTCTCAAAGGGTTGAAATCTGAGACAATAAAATATTCACATGAAAGTTAAGTATGTATGATGGAGCTTAGGAACGGTGGCTCATGCCTGTAATCCCAGCACTTTGGGAGGTCGAGGCAGGCAGATCATGAGGTCAGGAGATTAAGACCATTCTGACTAACATGGTGAAAGCCCGTCTCTACTAAAAATACAAAAAATTAGCCAGGAATTGTGGTACGTGCCTGTAGTCCCAGCTACTCAAGAGGCTGAAGCAGGAGAATCACTTGAACCTGGGCGGTGGAGATTGCAGTGAGTTGAGATTGTGTCACTTGCACTCCAGCCTGGGTGACAGAGCCAAACTCCGTCTCAAAAAAAAAAAAGAATATATGATGAAAAGTCAGATGGGCTGGGCGTGGTGGCTCACGCCTGTAATACCAACACTTTGGGAGGCTGAGGTGGGCAGATCACCTGAGGTTGGGAATTCGAGACCAGCCTGGCCAATATGGTGAAACCTCGTTTCTAATAAAAATACAAAAATTAGCCACTCATGGTGGTAGGCACCTGTAATCCCAGCTACTCGGGAGGCCGAGGGGGAAAATCGCTTGAACCTGGGAGGCAGAGGTTGCAGTGAGCCGAGATCACGCCATTGCCCTCCAGCCTGGAGACAGAGCAAGACTCAGTCTCAAAAAAAAAAAAAAGTCAGATGAAAAATAATAGAGATAAAAGTCACTTGCTTCAGTGCCTGAAGAGGTATGGGGGTGGGGGGGATGTCACTGTGGAAATTCAAGAGGAGAATTTTATGATATGTGAATTATATCTCAACTTTTTTTTTTTTTTTTTTGAGCCGGAGTTTCGCTCTCATTACCCAGGCTGGAGTGCAATGGCACGATCTCGGCTCACTGCAACCTCCGCCTCCTGGGTTCAGGCAATTCTCCTGCCTCAGCCTCCTGAGTAGCTGGGATTACAGGCACGTGCCACCATGCCCAGCTAATTTTTTGTATTTTTAGTAGAGATGGGGTTTCACCATGTTGACCAGGATGGTCTCGATCTCTTGACCTCATGATCCACCCACCTCGGCCTCCCAAAGTGCTGGGATTACAGGCTTGAGCCACCGCGCCCGGCCATATCTCAACTTTTAAAAACTCAAGAAAAATGGTTGTTATTAAAGGCCAGTATTTCAGTATGTGAAAAGGAGGGCTCAAGACAGTAGAAGACAGTCGGGGGTTGAGCTGGTTTTATCATGTAGGCTGGGGAGAAGGAACAGGCCAGTGTAGCAGCCAAGGTGGCTTCCCTGGACTAACATGTTGGTCCCACTCCTCTCCCCATCCTCAGGTGGTATGTAAGAAATACCGGGGATTCACCATCCCTGAGGCCTTCCGGGGAGTGCATCGGTACTTGAGCAATGCCTACGCTCGAGAAGAATTCGCCTCCACCTGTCCAGATGATGAGGAAATTGAGCTCGCCTATGAGCAAGTGGCCAAGGCCCTCAAATAAGCCCCTCCTGGGACTCCGTCAACCCCCTCCGTTTTCTCCACAAAGGCCCTGGTTTCCACATTGCTACCCAATGGACACACTCCAAAATGGCCAGTGGGAAGGGAATCCTGGAGCACTTGTTCTGGGATGGTGTGGTGGAAGAGGGGATGAGGGAAAGAAATGGGGGGCCTGGGGGAGATTTTTATTGTGGGGTGGGATGGGTAGGACAACATATTTCAGTAATAAAGTACAGAATAAAAATCAAGTGTTTTTACACAAAGCGGGGTTGAAGTGTGGGTGACACGGAATGAGGGGTGGGTCAGTGATCTTGCGCTCAGGGCAGAAGCCAGGAATTAAGAAGGGAGATCTTTGTGGTGGGTCTGCTATTTTTCGTGCCGGTCAGCCCTAGCGCTGTTCTGTGGTCGACGCCGCGTTTGCAGCCCCGCCGCCAGGGCCGGCCGGATCTGGGTGGGCCTGGGCAGCCCTTGCTGGGCGGTGCCGATTTCTGGCAAGGGGGGCGCAGTCTGGGTGGAATGGGCGAGGCTTAGCAGGGCGGAATGGGCGTGGCCCGCAGAAGCCCCGCCCCGTCCCGCTTAGACAATGCCCCGGAGCCGCCAGACCGTCGCGCCCCCGCCCCATCTTAGTATGTGAGCTCGCCTACCCTAGAACCCCCCTAAAAGCGTGAGCTCCCAGTCCCCGAGCTTGAAGACGGGGACTCCCTTCTCCACCAACTCTGTTCTAGGGGGGGTGGGGCCCCAGCCGAGATCTCAGCGCGACAGGAGTGGGGGTGGCCGCTGGAGGTGAGTCTTGGGTGAGGAGACCTGAACCGTTTGGGAGCCGGAGTTTGGGGGTGCCGGGCCCATGCCTGCACCGGACAGACAGGATGGGGAGCCGGCATTTGGGCGCGGAGCTAGGCGGGGTGGACTTTGGGACATAGACAGGGGACCGGGTCCTGGAGCCGGGAGTGGCGCCAGCTCCCCGGAACCACGCCCCTTGTATCCCCGCCCCTCGCGTTTCGTTTTAGACCTCTCCCAGTCCTCCGGGACTCGGTCTGGTTTACACTAGGTCGCGCGAGGGGCAGCTTGACCGGCCAGAGCGGAGAGAGGATGCTTAACTCCTTAGGCTGTAATTCCTCGCTCCCTGCCCCGCTCTCTCCCTCGTTCGGGCATTCAAGACTTCCATAGCCCAGCCCCTGATTCTCCAGCTTTCTCCTGTCCCATAACCCCTGCGGGTCCCGGGCCGGACTTCAGGTCCCTACAGTAGCGAGCAGCTGAGGGTTAAGGGGGCGGGGCCGCTGCATTTTTGGGGAGTGAGCGCATCCTAGTGGCTGCCAAGAGGGGCGCCTGGCAGGGACCTCACGAAGCCCCCGAGCAGGGGCAACAGGTGTTTTGGAGATTAGAGACCCTACCCTTGTCCCTCAGACTCCTCTTAAAGAATCTGACTCCTGAGGGTGCTGGGTAGAGTGGAGTCTACAGGGGCGGAAGGTTTAGAGGGGGTGGGGCGGGGTGGGAGGGACGCCCAAGAAATGGCAGGAGGAAGACCTGGGCGCTCTTAACAGCCCCCAACTCCCTTGTCTGCATGTCTTTTTCTCTGTCTCCCGCCTTTCTGTTTCTTCTCCCAGACAGGTGAAGAAACAAGAAAACTAAGAAATCCAAACGGTTGGAGGGGCGTCTGTGTGGATGGGATGGGGACGCCGGGGGAGGGGCTGGGCCGCTGCTCCCATGCCCTGATCCGGGGAGTCCCAGAGAGCCTGGCGGCGGGGGAAGGTGCGGGGGCTGGCCTTCCCGCTCTGGATTTGGCCAAAGCTCAAAGGGAGCACGGGGTGCTGGGAGGTAAACTGAGGCAGCGGCTGGGGCTACAGCTGCTAGAACTGCCACCTGAGGAGTCGTTGCCGCTGGGACCCCTGCTTGGTGACACGGCCGTGATCCAAGGGGACACGGCCCTAATCACGCGGCCCTGGAGCCCCGCTCGTAGGCCAGAGGTGAGGTGAGCGCCACGGCGCAGGTGTGGTGTGGGGAAGGGCAGGAGGAGCTGGATGTCGGGGCTTTCGGGAAGAATTGGGGATGGGGGTGTCTTAGCCCCCTGCCTTCTTCTCCTACCCTAAGGTCGATGGAGTCCGCAAAGCCCTCCAGGACCTGGGGCTCCGAATTGTGGAAATAGGAGACGAGAACGCCACACTGGATGGCACTGACGTTCTCTTCACCGGTGAGGCAGGGGTGGCGGCACCCCGGGGTCTTGGCACAGGGAAGTAGAGTTTGGGATACTCGGCTATCTCGAGCCTTGTTTCCAACTCACTCCTGTCCTCAAACCTCCGCGGCCTCCCGGACTCAGGCCGGGAGTTTTTCGTAGGCCTCTCCAAATGGACAAATCACCGAGGAGCTGAGATCGTGGCGGACACTTTCCGGGTGCGGAGCGGAACCAGCCTAGGGAGGGAGCGGGGTGCAGGTGGGGGTCGGAAGGGCCTAGGAGCCCAATGAGAAATGAGAGGCAGAGAGCAGCCTATATTTGAGGGTATCCCATCATCCCTCCCACGCCCCTGAATACTTCCCCTTGCTCTGCCTAGGACTTCGCCGTCTCCACTGTGCCAGTCTCGGGTCCTTCCCACCTGCGCGGTCTCTGCGGCATGGGGGGACCTCGCACTGTTGTGGCAGGCAGCAGTGACGCTGCCCAAAAGGCTGTCAGGGTGAGGAGGGGGAGGGACCAATTAAAGTGGGCGCCACTCTGGGCCTGGGAGGTAGGGAGCTGGGAGGCTTAGGAAATTAGCCCCAATCCCTGCCCTCATTGGGCTGTCCATCTTATATGAAAGAACACACGAGTAAATAAGAAGTCTGGCCGGGCGCGGTGGCTCAAGCCTGTAATCCCAGCACTTTGGGAGGCCGAGGCGGGTGGATCACAAGGTCAAGAGATCGAGACCATCTTGGTCAACATGGTGAAACCCCGTCTCTACTAAAAATACAAAAAAAAAATAGCTGGGCATGGTGGTGCGTGCCTGTAATCCCAGCTACTCAGGAGGCTGAGGCAGGAGAATTGCCTGAACCCAGGAGGCGGAGGTTGCGGTGAGCCGAGATCACGCCATTGCACTCCAGCCTGGGTAACAAGAGCGAAACTCCATCTCAAAAAAAAAAAAAAAAAAAAAAGAAGTTAAAACAGCGGGACTTGGGAAAAGGGGTGATTAATTTGCTCTTTCAGAGTTTCAGGAAACCCCAAAGATGGCACCTAAACTGTGACTCTGAGAATGGAGAGGACAGATGAGGGGAGGGACTGGGGAAGGGTAGGGGGTTGAAAATAACTGCATGTTATTCCAAGGTGGAAATTAGCAAAGGTAGCTAAAGTACTTAATGTCTGACATAGTAAGCCCTATGTGCTTGCTGTCATTATTATTCCACAAATGTCAGTCTGTCCCCAGCCCTTAGTGGTGGTTGAGCAGGCAGACTCAGTTGTGGAGAGGTTCTGAGACTCCAATACTTCCTCTTTCCTCCAGGCAATGGCAGTGCTGACAGATCACCCATATGCCTCCCTGACCCTCCCAGATGACGCAGCTGCTGACTGTCTCTTTCTTCGTCCTGGGTTGCCTGGTGTGCCCCCTTTCCTCCTGCACCGTGGAGGTGGGGACCTGCCCAACAGCCAGGAGGTGAGAGAGGGCAGGAACTCCAACACCAAGCACCATCAGAGAAAAGAGTTTCAGGCTTTCCGAGTGGGAGGGAGGAAGGGTGCCTTTTCTAGAAGCCTGGGTGGGGCCACTCTGAGCTGGCTGGAAAAGTGGCCTGGCTCTGGCCTCAAGGTCTTACTCCCCTCTACCCACTCCTTTGTAACTATACCGCTTTGTAACTATTGGCCAAACCGCATCCATTATATATTTCCTTATGATTGTTACCCTAATTCCCCTCTCTGCTTTAATCGAAAACGAACTACTTAAATGATAAATGTCCTTGTAGTATAATTTAATGCCCCAGTCTTGTAAACCAGAAATGGAGAGTACCTACTCCCCAGGACAATCAGGGAAAGAATATCTAATTCTACCATCAACACCCGAAGCTGAAATTCTAATCTTAAACTATTCCCTGAGTAACTAATTAGTTTTATATCATTGAAGGCTCAGCTATGAAGTACTCTGTAAGTACATGTAATATCTCTTCCCTGTGCAGGCACTGCAGAAGCTCTCTGATGTCACCCTGGTACCTGTGTCCTGCTCAGAACTGGAGAAGGCTGGCGCTGGGCTCAGCTCCCTCTGCTTGGTGCTCAGCACACGCCCCCACAGCTGAGCGCCTGGCCTTGGGGTCCTGCTGGCCAAGGGTAGGACAGTATAGGGAGTAGAAGGGGAAGGAGGGTTAGATAGAGAATGCTGAGTAGGCAGTAGTGGGGAGAGAGCCTCAATATGGGGGGAGGGCAGAGTGTGGGGAAAAGGATAGGGTCCACTGGGTGAGTCCTCCCTCTCAGAACCAATAAAATAGAATTGATCTTTTAGACTGGGCTGTGACTAGTATTTTACTGGGGCAAAGGGAAAGGGCAGGGATGAAACCTGAGGTTGGGGTCAGTGCAGGAAAGAAGGCCTCTCATTCAAAAAACTTGTTAGGCACTTACCAACTCATTGCCCAACCATGTCATAGGTGTTTGGGCACAAGATGGACAAGACAGAATGTCTATCATGGGAAATGTCTCCAGGGCAGAGAAGAGAGTGTATGGGTGGATCACTCACTGAATTTATCTAAATGTCAGATGATTCAGAGACTGGTAGATTACCAGTCCATCCCTATTTGATAAAGAAAAAGAAATGACACTTCCAGGGACATTCATTTTCATTGATTCATTTACTGAGGCTTAGCAATGACATCCAAAGGATCAGTCTCCTGATGTTGGGGGGCTCATAGTATGGGCAAATTTCTTACAAACTGAAATACAGGTTGTAATGAAACAATTTACAAGAGGCTGTTTCTATGCGGGAAATAAGGGGGGTGTGTCCTAGGGCATCAAAGTGTATGCAAAAGTGGGCAAGAAGGGTCAGCTTCCCAGAAAAGGCCACACTTGAACTGAAGATAAATAAGAATCAGCCAGGCAGGTAGTGTGGAGGAGGGAAAGAGGTAATACAGGAAGAAGGAATTGCACTGGGCAAAGATATTTTGGGGCTAGAGAGAATTCTCTGAGACTGGCATTTTCTTTTTTTTTTTTTTTGAGACGGAGTTTCGCTCTTGTTACCCAGGCTGGAGTGCAATGGCGCGATCTCGGCTCACCGCAACCTCCGCCTCCTGGGTTCAAGCAATTCTCCTGCCTCAGCCTCCTGAGTAGCTGGGATTACAGGCATGCGCCACCAGGCCCAGCTAATTTTTTGTATTTTTAGTAGAGACGGGGTTTCACCATGTTGACCAGGATGGTCTTGATCTCTCGACCTCGTGATCCACCCGCCTCGGCCTCCCAAAGTGCTGGGATTACAGGCTTGAGCCACCGCGCCCGGCTTGAGGCTGGCATTTTCTAAGATGTACATGTGGAATGATAGAAATAAGCCTGGAGAATAGACAAAGTGTTGTAGTACCTTGTATCCAAAGCCAGGGCACATGGGCACAGAGCTGAAGCTAAGGAAAGTACTTCCGTTCTGTAATACGGGCTGTCAGGAGCAGTTATCTCTTGAGGAAGATCTTTCTGACTTCAGGGAGGAAAGCAAGGTAGGAGGATGAGGTGGGGCTATGGGTAATCTAGGAAGGAAGTGAGGATAGTACATTCACATGGCAGCACTGGGCGTGGAATAGAGTGTGGGTTTGACAGTGATGTTAAGATAGACTGGATTTGATGGCTCATTGTGGGGGAGTGAGAGAAGAAGGAGGCCTGCATGACTCCCAGTTTCTGGGATGGGCAACTGGGATCTCGGCTCACTGCAACCTCCAACTCCCTGGTTCAAGCAATTCTCCTGCCTCAGCCTCCCAGGTAGCTGGGATTACAGGCAAGTGCCACCACGCCCAGCTAATTTTTGTATTTTTAGTAGAGACAGGGTTTCACCATGTTGGCCAGGATGGCATCAATCTCCTGACCTCCTGATCTGCCCACCCCGGACTTCCAAAGTGCTGGGATTACAGGCATGAGCCACCGTGCCCTTCCTGCAACTGGGTTGTTCAGGAGAGAATGCAGAGGAGAATTAAGGGAGTGGCTTCAGAGATGACAATGAGTTAGGTTTGACATCCAGAGAGCAAAAATGCCTGAGGCCAGTCAGGCAGAAAGTCTAAGGGGAAGTTTGTTAATCCCAAATCTGAGATCTGAGCCAGAGAGAGTTCTGGGTGTCATTTGCAGAGGTAGGGGCTGAGGACCGAATGGATGAGAGTGTGCTAGAAGAGAAGAAAGGAGGAGAAAGGAGCAAACCTAGAATGGTGGGGAGTTAAGTACTGTGGGGATATGGAGCAAGGAAGGAGTCCAAAAAGAAAACACCAGCAGCAAAGAAAAACAGAGCTTAAAGAATGCAGTAATCAGAGGTCAAACCAGATGAATGCTGAAAACGTCTACTGGGTGTGACTATTAGGACGCCATTGGCAACATTGTGGAGAGCAGACAGGCAATTTCGACAGATGAGCAGTGGGGATAGAGTGAAGGAGAAGAAAATGGAAGAGGCAGGTGTGTGCCCCCCGGTTCCAAAGCTTGACAGTGAAGGAAGTGAAGAGATAAGGCAACTGTCTGGGAGTTACTGATGTCTTTGACAGGAGATAGGGCTTGACTGGATATAGAGGGGACACCGGTGGCGAGGGAGACATGAAGGTTACGGGAGACATGGGAGTAAGTTTAGGAGTAACATCAGTGGCAGAGACAGCCTAGAACCCGGGTCTCCTGACTTCCAGTCTAGCACTTATTTCTATACCATGGTGCCTTCCTCTTCCAGGTGAGGGATCAGGGAGGGGAGAGGGATTATGGGGAACTGGGAGCCCCCAGCTTGGGAGGTTTGGAGTAAGGGCTTCCCTTCACACTACAACTGCATAGACGGTGGAAGCATCAGCAGGGTCCACTGTGGACAGCCGCCGGGGCCTGCTGAGGGCCAGATGGTCCAGATCCGCATAGTGAAGGCTCTGGAGGAGGAAGGAGAGGAAGACAAGATGGTCTCCACAGTCTTCCTTGGGATTCAGGCCTTTTTTTTTTTTTTTTTTTTTTTTTTGGTACATTTTCCTCAGACATTCTGGCCAGCCCTCTTTCCATCCCCAAGCCCTTACCGGTTCCTGGTCCAGGTCCCCTGGAATCTTGGGCTCTTCCTCCTTTGCTGCTCTCTGGGGCTCGGCTTTCACAAGTGGAGCTATGTGGGGGGGACAAAGCTGAAGGATGGAGAGAAGGTGACCAACGTGTCTGTTCCCAGCAAGGGCTCAGACTCAGGAACTGAGGGGTGGGGAGTGGGCGGGTGTGTAGGAGAAAGAAAATGGGGTGGGGTTAGTCTCACCAAATTTAGGGAGTGGTCGAATCGGCTGCTTGGGCAGGCGCCTGTAAGGGACATATAAGAGTCTTTGAGAGTCACCAGTCTTGTCTTACTGGTTCTCCTGGAACGCAGGCCGTGCCAACGACAGTCCAGCAACTTGAAGGCTCAGACCGGAAACACCTTAGACTCTGCCCCCACAGATAGTCCAGCCCAGGCTCTGACCCCCCTGCGCTTCGGGCTCATCTCTGCTGGCTGGGCTGCACTCACCAGCCAGTGGCCTCGCTCCCACCTTCCACCTCTCCCATTCTTCTCCAACCCAGGGCAAGGGCTCTAGGTCTAGCTCTTTCTTTCACGAAGGTTCTGGTCCTGCCCCTTCCACCTCTGGTCACTCCCCATTTAACCAGGCTCTTGCTCACCTGTGCAGCCACCAGACGAGGCCCAAAACTCCCAGTCCCAGCACCAGCCCAGCGCCCAGCAGCGGGATCAGGAGCTGGGGATACACGGACCCTGGGGGAACGGCGTGGCGGGGAGGGATGCTGAGGTCAGGGGTATGACGACAGAGAGCCAGCTGTCCCACTCAAGAACCCCCAGCCAAGGCCCTCTTCCCTCCTACGGGTCTGCGTGGGAGTTAAGTACCCTTGAACTCACAGGCCTTGGACCTACCGTGGGTAGGCCCCGGGGCCTTGCAATGGGCCCTGTCCCCCAGCACGTGAAGCACTGTACGGCTCTCATCCTCATGGCGGCCCTTGCAGAAAAAGGTGCCTGAGTCCCCCACGCTCAAGAGGAGCTCCAGCCGCTGGATACCAGAGTCCAGGGAGCGTAGGCGGCCAACGAAGGGCTGGAGGGGAGGCACGGTGGGGGTCCCGCCGGAAGAGGCCCACAGGATTGGCCGGCGTCCTTTGGACAGGCCCTTGCAGGCCGGGAAGCTGGGCGCCCAGACCCAGCGGATGGGGTGAGAGACTCCTACGCATGAGAGATTCACCAGGTCCCCAGGGTGGCCTTCCAGAGAAGCTAGGGGAGGCCGGAGGCTGTGGTTAGGGCAGGTTCATAGGGCAAGACCACACCCCATCCCGTCTCTTTCTCTTCTCTCTTCTGCACTCCAGCCATCTTGGATCTTCCCACACACAACCCACCCTACTAGGCGCCCCCTTTCTTGCCTCAGCCCCTCGGAGTCTATCACAGCTCTCCCAGGGTTCACTTACCCTCAGGGTTTCCTTGGGCCCTCGAGTGCAGCAGCAGTAACAGCTGCAGAAACACAGCCATAGTCGGGGTGTGGTGAGGAGAGGCTGCGAGCTAATCACCGGGGAGTGGGGGGAAGGAACCGGAGGGAAGCTGGGGGTGGGGAGAACGGAGGGGCTGGGGGGCTCCGATAAGAGAGGGGGAGGTGCCACCAGCTACACAGATCCCTTTGGGAATCCTCACAGGCAAACTCAGAGCCCTCAAACGGTGCTCACTTAAAATGTGTGCTTGGGCCATTTACACAAATGCTTTTTGCCTGCTTAACTTTACAGGTGCTCCTGTAATCCCAGCTACTGGTGAGGCTGAGGTGGGAGGATCCCTTGAGCTCAGGAGGTCGAGGTTGCAGTGAACTGTGATCAGGCCACTGCACTCCAGCCTGGGTGACAGAGCCAGCCAGACCCTGTCTCAAAAACAACAAAAACCCCTGTTTTGTAGGGCATTTTGAGAACTAGTTATACATGTAAACTGCCTAGAACACACAGGATCACTATGTAAGTGCTTGCTGATGTTATTACTATTACTATTTCTATTATTTCTTTTTATTTTCTTTCTTTCTTTCTTTCTTTTTTTTTTTTTTTTTTGAGACAAAGTCTTACTCTTGTCACCCAGGCTGGAGTGCAATGGCACAATCCTGGCTCACCTCAATCTCTGCCTCCTGGTTTTAAGCGATTCTCCTGCCTCAGTCTCCCAAGTAGCTGGGATTACAGGCACCTGCCACCACACCCAGCTAATTTTTGTATTTTTAGTAGAGATGGGGTTTCTCCATGTTGGCCAGGCTGCTCTCAAACTCCTGACCTCAGGCCATCCGCCTGCCTCAGCCTCCCAAAGTGCTGGGATTACAGGCAGGAACCACCGTGCCCAGCCAACTGTTTCTATTCTTATTTTAGCTTCTACCTCACCTCTCTGTGCCCACGCTGTTCCTCCTGCCTTGATGCCCTGCCCAAGTTGGCAGGTTTTGACGGGGGAGGCACTTTGGTGCAGGTGCACACAGCCACACCTAGGACAATTGCTGCCACTGGACTGGAGCAACAAGGCCACACCAAGCGCAAGTAGAGCTGGGGTGAGGTCCTGAGAAACTTCATGGGGGCCTGAGCCAGCCCCTACTTAGCAGACCTGCAGTGGCTCTCCTGGACAAGCAGCCCCAGCTCCTGCCTCTGCTGCTATGGCATCACAGAAGCCATAATTGAGTCACAAATCCATCCTGCGGCTGAGCGGACATTGGAAAGGCCAAGTGAGGGCTGAATGGAGATAATTTGACCCATTCCATCCCCAGTTTCTGCCAGCATGCTGCTATCAATGCCCAGCAGGGACCCAAATTCAGCAGTTAATTTGGGCCACATCCCATTGTCCGTTTCCCAGGAACCAGCAGAAGCTACCACCATGGACACTACAAATCACAGAGGCCTTTGATGATGCTCTTTCACAGGACTGAGCAGCAGAACTCTTAGCTGGGGGCCAGGAGGGGCATCTTGGCCTGAAACCAAGAACTACAATGGTGTTGGCCACTAGTGGCACCTGCCCTCCCCCATCCCTCTCTCCCATCCCTACTCCCCACTCAGTCCTGCTCATCGCCTCCCCACCCCTTGTCTTTTCTCTGGTCAGCTGTGTAGTAAGTGAGAAGGGAGGGGCTACCAGAGGCAGGGAAGGGAGGAGCCTTTGGGTTTATAAATTCCAAAAAGGTCACCCAACTCCCAGAGCCAGATCTTCCAAAATCGACTCTAGCAGCTCCTGTGGCTGCCACCATTCTCAGGACCCTCGCCATGAAAGGCCTTCTGCTGCTCACCCTGTCTGCTCTGCTCTGCTGGGTCTCAGGTGAGTACCTGGGGGCCCCAAGGACGTGGTTTTCCTGGTCAGCACCTTTACACCCTGCTCTACCCACTGTCCTGTGCCACCACTCAGGATCCCAACACCCCCAGCCCCAACTGGCTCAGCTGTCCTGTGCCACCAAGACCAGGCTTCCCTATGACAGCCTCCTTGCTCTATTTCTCAAAAAGCCAGCTCGCCATCCATCTTCCCCATCTCCAAGAAAGACCCACTTTCCTCACCTGCCAGGGCTCTGGGTCCCCTGTTCCCCACTCCAAGGTGTCCCCTCCTTGGAAACTCTGGTGTCCAGTTCCCCAACCAGCCCCACTTCAATATGCAACTCTCCAGAATCTAGCTCACCTGCTTCTCCTCTGTCTGCTCAGATGTCCTTTCAAAGTCCTAGGCATCCAGCTCCAGGCTCCTTATGTAGCCTACCCTCCCCATCTACTCCATCAGGGACTTAGATATTCAGTCTCTCAACCATGGCCTTTCCTAGATACCCTCTACTTCCCCCTGGGTTGCATACCACCTCCCCTACCCGGGATGGAAGCTTTCTAGATGGTTCCAGTGACATCTAAGAGCCTTCATGGAAATAGAGCGTTTTCTTGAACTTTTAGAGAGAGGACACCCGGACCACTCACCTCCAGGGTGAGGTGGGTTTCACTGAGGTACACTTACAAGGCTCCTCCACCCTTCAACCCTGTGTCACCAAATCTTGCCAGCCCAAACCTTGAATTAGCTGAAGCAGGAACTTTGGGGTGCCGCCTTCGGTATCCACCCTCTCCATTCTGATAAGGTGCTCAGATGGAATCTGGTGATCTGTCTCTCAGGTATTATTCCTTTCTGCTGAAGAGCTACTGGGGTGAGAGGATTCTATTCAGGTCTGGTTCCTCTTCCCGTGCTCTTGCCAGCTCCAGGAGGTGAAGAGTAAATTGTAAATTGCTACAGCTGGCGACAGATGGCTTTCTTTGCCAGCCTCAAGTTCCAAGGCATTTCTGACAGTGTTGTAACCCTCATGATTTTTTTTTTTTTTTTTTGAGACAGAGTCTCACTCTGTCGCCAGGCTGGAGTGCAGTAGTGCCATCTCCACTCACTGCAACCTCCGACTCCCTGGTTCAAGCGATTTCCTGCCTCAGCCTCCCAAGTAGCTGGGATTACAGGCACACGCCACCATGCCCAGCTAATTGTTGTATTTCTAGTAGAGACTGGGGTTTCACCATGTTGGCCAGGATGGTCTCAAACTCCTGACCTCGTGATCCACCCGCCTCAGCCTCCCAAAGTGCTGGGATTACAGGTGTGAGCCACCGCGCCCGGCCAATTGTCATTTTCATTATTTCTCCTTCTTTCAGGTCTCCGTCTCCTCCTCCACCACCCATGGTATTTCCCCATGGTACCTTGTTCACATTCCATCTATCCCCAGCCTCTTGTTTTTGTTCATAGCTCTGTCCCTCTTGACTCATCTCCAAATGGGGTGGAGTGAAGGGAGATATGTAGGGCGTGGGCCTTTCACAAAGCAACAACTTTACCTTTACCTGACGCCCACTTTCCATTTTCCCTGCGTCACTCACCTGTTCTGTCCCTACTAGACCAAACAACCAAACAGGTTAGAGCACCTACCTGATAGCTCTTCTCCACCCTCCACCCCCACCCCAGCTCAGCTTATCCCCAGGTAAGTCAGAGACCCCATCACCTCAGCCTGACTCTTGTCTCCCCAGCTGACATTCGCTGTCACTCCTGCTACAAGGTCCCTGTGCTGGGCTGTGTGGACCGGCAGTCCTGCCGCCTGGAGCCAGGACAGCAATGCCTGACAACACACGCATACCTTGGTAACATCCCCTTCCTTCGCGGAGGGAGCAGGGAGGTGGGAGACTCTATGGTCGGAACTGAGGCCCAAATGGGGCAAGACTGAGGTGGAGAAACAGAGAATTATAGCAATGATAATATTTGCCCAAAGATGATTGTGTGCCAGGCGACATCCTATGTCTTTGCATGCCTCTTTTAAAATTAATGTTCATGACGACCTTAAGATGTGGGTGCTATTGTTCTATTGAGGAAACAGCCTCACAAAGAGAGAGTAACACAGCTGAGCATGATGGCTCATGCCTGTAATCCCAGGACTTTGGGAGGCCAAGGCAGGCGGATCACTTGAGGTCAGGAGTTCGAGACCAGGCTGGTCAACATGGTGAAACCCCATTTCTACTAAAAACACAAAAATTAGCTAGGTGTTGTGGTGGGCACCTGTAATCCCAGCTTCTTGGGAGGCTGAGACAGGAGAATCGCTTAACCCGGGAGGCAGAGGTTGCAGCGATATGAGATTGTGCCATTGCACTCCAGCCTGGGTAAGAGTGAGACTATCTTTAAAAAAAAAAAAAAAAAGGCCAGGCGCAGTGGCTCACACCTGTAATCCCAGCACTGTGGGAGGCTGAAGCAGGTGGATCACCTGAGGTCAGGAGTCCGAGACTAGCCTGGGTAACATGGAGAAACCCCGTCTCTACTAAAAATACAAAATTAGCCAGGTGTGGTGGTGCATGCCTGTGAAATCAGCTACTCAGGAGGCTGAGGCAGGAGAAGCAGTTTGAACCCTGGAGGCAGAGGTTTCACTGAGCTGAGATCGCACCACTACACTCCAGCCTGGGCAACAAGAGCGAAACTCCATCTCAAAAAAAAAAAAAAAAAAACAGACACAGTAAAAGGTCCAAGGCCTAACTGCCAGCAAGTGATAGAACCAGGATTGGGGGAGTGGGGATACGGAAGTGCAGGAGGAAGATCAGACTGAGAAAAGAGAAGGGGAGGGCCCCAGACAGAGATGGGAAGGAAGGAAGCCTGGGCGAGTGGAAGGGGTGGGGAGGTGGACACAGGCATGCCAGGTGCCCATCCTAGCTGACTCCCTGCCCATTCCTACCCCTAGGTAAGATGTGGGTTTTCTCCAATCTGCGCTGTGGCACACCAGAAGAGCCCTGTCAGGAGGCCTTCAACCAAACCAACCGCAAGCTGGGCCTGACCTATAACACCACGTGCTGCAGCAAAGACAACTGCAACAGCGCGGGCCCCCGGCGCACTCCGGCCCTGGGCCTTGTCTTCCTCACCTCCTTGGCTGGCCTTGGACTTTGGCTGCTGCACTGAGACTCACTCTGTCGGCTGCCCCTCCTCCCACCTGCCTTGGCCGGAGCCTCTCTCCCTGTCTCTCCCGTATCCCCTGGCTTTACAGAATGGTCCCTCCCTAGCTCCCATTTCTTTAATTAAACAATGTTCCAAAGTGGTCTCCTCATCCGTCCCATCCTTCCCACCTCACACCCTCCACTCAGCTTTTTCTGAGTCCCTTCCCATTTCGTTCCAGAGCTTCCACTGGCTCCTAGAAGGACTCCCCACTTTGCTTCCTCTACTCTACTGTCCCCTACTTGAGGAGGGATTGGGATCTGGGCCTGAAATGGGGTTTCTGTCTTGTCCCCAGTGAAGGCTCCCACAAGGACCTGATGATCTCACTGTACAGGGCTGACTCCCCAAACCCAGCCTCCCATACGTACCCCATCCCCATACTCACCTCTTTCCATTTTGAGTAATAAATGTCCGAGTCTGATGAAACGTGCATTTATTATCAGAAGACCTAAGGATCAGGTCACCTCCCAGCAACTAACACTCAGTCTCCCACCCTTACACAGGAATCCTTCAGGGATGTTCCCTGGGAGGCTGAGGCTGGGGCAAATGGAGAAACAGGTTTTTCAGGTCTTCGTCCTCCCTTCCAGAGTCTCCAGGTGGCACACAAGCCCCAGTGTTTGGAGAAACAACTCATATCCTAAATTTAGGCCACACCCCTGATGTATTGCCAAGAAGAAGGTGCAGCCTGGCTTGAGGGCTCTCCAGAAAGGATAAGAGAGGCATGGGATGGGGCCCGAGACTCTGTTTCCTCAATTTCTCTCACGTTAAAGGCAGAGGCCTCACCTGGCCTGGTTACTAAGTAGGGCACCAAGCAGCTCTCCTATCACAGTTTTTTTTTTTTTTTTTTTTTTTTTTTTTGAGACGGAGTTTCGCTCTTGTTACCCAGGCTGGAGTGCAATGGCGCGATCTCGGCTCACCGCAACCTCCGCCTCCTGGGTTCAGGCAATTCTCCTGCCTCAGCCTCCTGAGTAGCTGGGATTACAGGCACGTACCACCATGTCCAGCTAATTTTTTGTATTTTTAGTAGAGACGGGGTTTCACCATGTTGACCAGTATGGTCTCGATCTCTTGACCTCGTGATCCACCCGCCTCGGCCTCCCAAAGTGCTGGGATTACAGGCTTGAGCCACCGCGCCCGGCCGCACAGTTTTTATATTACTTTTTTTTTTCTTTTTTTCTCCCCAGATCCCTGTTCTTTATCTTTTCTCCATTTTTTTTAAGATGGAGTCTTGCTCTGTTGCCCAGGCTGGAGTGCAGTGACACAATCTCAGCTCACTGCAACCTCTGCCTCCCAGGTTCAAGTGATTCTCCTGCCTCAGCCTCCCAACTAGCTGGGACTATTTTTAGTGGAGACGGGGTTTCACCATGTTAACCAGAATGGTCTCGATCTCCTAACCTCATGATCCACCCGTCTCAGCCTCCCAAAGTGCTGGGATTACAGGTGTGAGCCACCACACCCAGACTTTACATTTCCTTTCTCAATTCAAAATAGGCCTATCGGGAGCCGAGCTGCGAATGGGAGAAAGGGGAGCAAACACAGACTCAGGCTCATGAAACCCTGGCAACCCCACTCAGTGAATCTCATTGCCAAGGAAGATTCAACTCAGCAACAGGATCCAGGAGCCATGGAGGGCAGATAAGCCATTGCCTTTTGGGTTTTTTGTTTTGTTTTGTTGTTTTGTTTTGTTTTTTTTTTTGAGACGGAGTTTCCCTCTTGTTACCCAGGCTGGAATGCAATGGCACGATCTCGGCTCACCGCAACCTCTGCCTCCTGGGTTCAGGCAATTCTCCTGCCTCAGCCTCCTGAGTAGCTGGGATTACAGGCACGTGCCACCATGCCCAGCTAATTTTTAGTATTTTTAGTAGAGACAGGGTTTCACCATGTTGACCAGGATGGTCTCGATCTCTTGACCTGGTGATCCACCCGCCTCGGCCTCCCAAAGTGCTGGGATTACAGGCTTGAGCCACCGCGCCCGGCCTGGGGTTTTGGTTAAGTAGTGCGCCAATGTAATTAAGCCCACCGTTGCTTGGTAACCCCCAAACTAGAACGTGGATGCCCCATATAACCCTTTTAGCCCACCTATCAACAAAAGATAGATGCAGTTTTCCAGTCAGCTGTAGAGTGGTCCATAGATTTTAATGGCTCACAGAAGAATGCTTGTTTTCTCATTTTAGATGTTCAGACGACCCTTGCTCCCTTGCTCCCTTCTCTACCCCTCCCTACTCCCACTACCCTCTCCACAGTCCTGGCAAGAGCCAGCCCAGGGCGGTAGCTGCTGCAGCCAAAATGCATGCAGGGGCCACATGGCTTGACACGGCGCTGTTGCACATGTCTCCAAGGTAGCAGTCCCTGTGGGCTGGATAAGTCATGTCTCCCACTGGCTCTGTTTCCACTTGATTGCAATGATGGGCTGCCACGCAGGCTGGATGTTGATGAATCAAGGTCACTGAGGCTGAGAGAAAGAATGAGACTGAGGTGTTGGACTCCTGGCTTCAGGACTTGCCTTTGGGGGCAGAGCAGATATGATTTCAAGGAGCCCAAAGGGATTTTGTGCCCCCTCAAAAAACACCTCCCTGAAACCAAGTGATCAAAGTTAATGTATTGACGTTGTAAACTCCTGATGTGACGCAGTGAGAAGGACGCAACATCTCTTCTGCATATTCTTGCTGAAAACGCATGACCTCAATCTCATGGCAAAATATCAGATAAATACAAATAGAGGGACATTCTATAATTTTAGTATATCAAATATATGTAAATGTTTTAAAATCTAAAAATGATTTTATTTATTTATTTTTAGAGACAAGATCTTGCTCTGTCACCCAGACTGGAGTGTAGTGGCATGACCATGGCTCATTGTAACCTCAACCTCCCAGGCTAAAGCAGTCTTTCCTCTTCAGCCCCCTGAATAGCTGGGACTACAGGTATGTGCCACCACACCCAGCTAATTTTTTTTTTTTTTTTTTGAGATAGTGTCTCACTCAGTCGCCCAGGCTGGAGCACAGTGGTGCAATCTTGGCTCACTCAACCTCTGACTCCTGGGTTCAGGTGATTTGCCTGCCTCAGCCTCCTGTGTAGCTGGGACTACAGGCAGCACCACCTTGCCTGGCTAATTTTTGTAGTTTTAGTAGAGACAGGGTTTACCCATGTTGGCCAGGCTGGTCTTGAACTCCTGATCTCAGGTGATCTGCCCACCTTGGCCTCCCAAAGTGCTGGGATTACAGGCATGAGCCACGGTGCCCTGCTCCAGCTAATTTTTTAATCTTCTTTTTTTTTTTAGAGACAGAGTCTCCCTATGTTGCCTAGGCTGGTCTCAACTCCTGGGCTCAAGTGGTCCTCCCACCTTGGCCTCCTAAAGTGCTGGGATTGCAGGTATAAGTCACTGCACCGGCCCTAAAAGTGATATTTTAAACTCCAGGTATAAGCCGGGCGCGGTGGCTCAAGCCTGTAATCCCAGCACTTTGGGAGGCCGAGGCGGGTGGATCACCAGGTCAAGAGATCGAGACCATCCTGGTCAACATGGTGAAACCCCGTCTCTACTAAAAAATCCAAAAAAAATTAGCTGGGCATGGTGGCACGTGCCTGTAATCCCAGCTACTCAGGAGGCTGAGGCAGGAGAATTGCCTGAACCCAGGAGGCGGAGGTTGCGGTGAGCCGAGATCGTGCCATTGCACTCCAGCCTGGGTAACAAGCGAAACTCCATCTCAAAAAAAAAAACCACAAAAAACAAAAAAAAACTCTAGGTATAAAATAATTTATCAGGGCTCTTCAAATGTGTCAGGGACATAAAAATCAAAGAAAAACAGAACTGGCCCAGATCAGAGGAGACTAAAAAGACATGAGAACTAAATGCAATATGAGATTCTGCTAAATCAAATAAAGTCTGTAGATTAGTCAGTAGTATTATATCAATGTTATTTTGTGATTTTGATAACTGTACTATGGTTATGTAAGATGTTAGCATTAGGAGACGCCGAAAACTTCTGCAATTTTTCTGTCAATCCGAAATTATGTTAAAATAAAATATTAAAATAATGTACACACACACACACACACCACACACACACACCCTCCCTGGTCCTTAGCTAATGCCGGAAATTCGAAGTTTGCTTTTAACTTTGGCCTTTCAAGGCCAGAGCTTTTCATTTGTGACCTAATGGGCCTATGAGATTCTTTTGGGAGAGTAAGGAGTGGGGAGGTGGGGGCACAAGGCCTGTGGGCCTCTTGGGGGCTCCATGCCAGGAGCCAGAAGGGGTACAGACTGCTCTCCTCTGACAGCCACACCATCTGCTCAGAGCCAGACTGAGCCTGGAGCATTCTGGAAGCCAGAAGGATTGACGTGGGGCTGGAGGGAGGGAAAGGCTGCGGGAAGAGGAAGAAACTGAGGACTCACGGTTTCCAGGTAGCTTGAGCTGTTCCAGGCCTGGCTGCGGCTCTGTCCTCACCACAAGGTCGTCACGGCCTCTTTACAAGAGCTGCTGGAGCTTCCACCGCAGTCCTGGCACCGCATTCGGTTTCCTGGCAGGAGAAAAGAGGCGCTGGACCTGGGCCCTCGGTGGAGCCTGCTGGCAGGAGGCCTGTGCGAGAGGCTGTGTGAGAGGCTGGCCGGCCGCCTCCTTACCCAAGGCAGCCCCCAGCAGGGAGCTGAGCAAGATCCCAACAAACTGGGGGTTCATCGCAGTCTGCCTGTGTCAGCCTACCCGATTCTACCTCCCGCCCACCCCCCTCCCCAGCCCGGCTCTGTCAGCCTTATATCCCCCTTGCCTTGAGCTTTATAGGGCTATAAAAAAGGAGGAAAGAGTCTCCCCTAGCAGGCCCCAGGGGCCCCCGTGGGGACGGGGAGGGGCCCCATGGCATGCTCTCAGCATCTTCTGGAGTCCTCAAACTCCTTTATCCTCAGCAGCAGTTCTGAAACTGTGGGCCAAGAATCCCTGGGGGGGGTCCCCGAGACTCTTTCACAGGGTCCTTGAGGGGCTTCCTTTTGCAATTATCTGTGTAAGATCAGATTTTCTTCATATACTAGACTTCAATGAAAACAACATATCCCCAAAGACTGAATGCAGAAGCGATAGGAAAACCCCGGCATCTCCCATGGAGCCTGATATTAAATTCACAAATATGCAAAGCAATGCCCCTCTTCTCACTGTGCTGTGGAGAAATCATAGTTATTTTTCACAAAACTATATTTTGTTAACATGTAATATTTTATTATTTTTGTTGTTTAAAGAAATCAATAAATACCTACTTTAAACTATGTGATTTTTAATATAGTAAATGTCGATATAACCTCATAAAGAAAATCTCTTCAGAGTCTTAAGTAACTTTGAAAAGTGTAAAGAGGTCCTGAGATCAATGTTTTGTTTTGTTTCGTTTTATTTTGGTGTGTGTGTTTGATATACTGAGTTTCTTTCTCATGGGCATGTACCCAGCAAGATCAATGTTTTTGAAAAGAGCTGGTCTCCTGGGTGCCTGTGTCTCCCCTGTACCCATTCCCTGTTCCTAGTCTTACTCCTCCGGGTGCATGCTGACTCTGATTCCCCAGATGGGGCCTTCCTCCTTCCCAATCTCTTCGACCCCAGTCTTCTAGGCTCTCCCACACTCCCCCTACCCCAAATCCTATCCACACCTTCCTTTCTAGTGATTTCTCCCCAGTGCAAGCATATCCGGCCCTCCAGCCCCACCCATGATTATTTCTTTCCTCCAAGGTAGTAAAGCTGGCAGGGATAATTATGGGGTAGGAATGTTGAAGCTTGAGGGGATCAAAGGAATCTGAAGCTAGGTGGGGTCCGCCCTTACACAGCTGGGCTTTGTGTGTGCGTGTGGGTGGGTGGGTGGGGGTACTGTTGATTTCACACTCAAACAGATCCAGGCCAGGGCTGTTTAAGAGGGTGACCTTCAGAGACATGAAAGCATTGAGGGGGAAAGACAGAGAAAACAAAGACGGAGAGAAGCTGAGAGAGTCAGGGAGCAGCTTGAGACCTGGGGAGGGAGGGAGAGGAGTAGGAGGGAAGGCGACAGACACAACTCAGGAGCAGGAGAGGAAGCTAAGTTACAGAGACAACACGCTGAGAGAGCAGAGGAGACCCTCCAGGCAAGGGCAGACTCCTTTCGGGGGCAGGCTGGGGCCCCGCTGCCTGCTGGGTCAGGCTGGAGAATCTGGTCACGGTTTCGCACCCCAAACTCACTCCCTGTGTTTGTTTATGGGTTCCTCCCTGTCTTGCTCAAATGCTCCAACTCTGCAGATCCCGGGATCTCAGGGTGCAGATCACCTCTCCCAGATTCCTGAGCCTGGGTCTGGCCATGGGCACCTCCAGCATCTTCCTCTGCATCCTGTTCCTCTGTGGGACACTGGGTAAGGGTGGGCTGGGGACCTTCAGGGGTCAGGGGGCTGGGGGCGGGGACAGGGCATGTGGAGGAACCTGAGGGCTGGGGAGGAGAGGGGTAGGGGTACTGAAAGAGGCCAAGAAGAGAGCTGGGAGAGTGGGGGACTTCAGGGAGGCCAGCCACTGGGAAGGCCAGCCTGATGAGGTGGGAAAGAGTTTCCTTTCAAAGTCATTTGAAAACAACTGTCGCCTCCTTGCTCCCATCTTTGACCCGCCCCGTCTCCCTTGTCCCTTATTTTACCTCTTGCTTCTATACTGGGCCTCTTGGTCAATGTCAATTTCTATTTTCTTATCTGTTTCTGGCGCACCCCTGCCCAGACTCCCTCCACCCTCCACCTCCCTGCTGCCAAGTCTGGCTTTTTGTGTCACTCAACATCAGTGTTGGTCTCTGATTCTCGTGGCTTCTGATCATGTCTTCGCGAGTCTCAATCCATGTACCCCTCTTTCCTCTGTCTCTGTTTATTTTCCTGCATCGTCTCCCCTCCCTTCTCGGTGTCTGTGTTTCTACTTCTGTCTGCTTTCCTCCCTTGTTGCACAGCTTCCCTCTCTCCACCTAGTGTGTCACCTCTCTCTGCTGTCCCTGTCCTGGATCTGGCCTCTGCCTGCCCCACAAGGAAGGTTTGCCTCTCCCACTTCCCTAATCTCTGCTGCCTCAACAGGTCTCACCATGGCCCCTGCCCAGGGAAGGCTCCGCTGTTACACCTGCGGCTTCGCCAAACCCTGCTACCCTGTTCCCACCGAGTGTCAAGACGATGACGCTTGCGGCATCAGTATCGGCACTTCAGGTAGGACTCTGGTCCAGTGGCCCTTCTGGCGGCTCCCTACCTCCATCCACCCCACCTTTCCTGTGGCCCCCACCTCAGTATGCCTCCTTCGTCCCACAGACCAGAGTGAGATCATCCAGCTGAAAGGCTGCCTCCCAAAGGCCCAGTGCCCTCTGCTGGGCCATGCCACTTACTGGTTGCACTCCTACACCCTGAGGCACCACTGCTGCGAGCAGGACCTGTGTAACGGGGCCGCTTCCCCACGGCAGCTCCCCAGCCTCCTCACCTCCCTGCCCCTCCTCGTGGCCAGCTTCACCGGGAGAGGACCCCTCCTCCACTAGCCTTGGTGGATCTGCAGCCCCCAACCCGGGATTCCTCCTACATCACCTCGGCCCTGGAAACACCTGCACAGACACTTTGACATGCCCGAGAACCTCATTTTGTACTGAGACCTCAGATCTCTCAGCCCAGCAGCTTCACAGACTCCTCACAGGGCCTGGGGAGGGACCTGGCCAGAGTCCAGCCTCATAAAGAACACCTATTCTGTGTCTTTTATCTTTTCTAGATGCCCATTGCTGATGCCCCATCAGCCCAGGTCACTGGCAAGGCAGGCATGTTGATGACACTGTGGGTCTCAGGCAAGGGGGTCAAAGGGGCATCAGGTACGGTGAGGAGGAGAGTCTTGCTAGGAAAGACTAATGTCGTGGGTCGGGAACTCAGGACAGAGGGCTTGGGGAGCTATGAAGAGTACCTTTAACAAAAGATCTATCTAGGAGTCCAGTAATACTGCAGATACTGCAGTGTGTGTGTGTGTGTGTGTGTGTGTGCGCGCGCACGCACGTGTGCGTGCGTGTGTGTCTTTGTGTGTGTGCTCTAAGAGCAAACTACAGCTGCTTGGTGGGTTGGGCTGGAGCTGGAGCCTGGACCACGGCACTCCCCTTGTCTTCCATCTGTGTCATTCGCGTCCTCTTTCCTGCCAGTGGCTTAGTTTAAGCCCCTGCATCATGAAGGCTTTAGTCGAGACTTCTCAGAAAGCTTTTCTCCATTTACGCCCAAGCTTGAGCAGAGACACAAAAGGGCACCTGGTGGAGCTGCTCATGAGGGTGTGGCTGGGAGCCCAGCTCATTTCTGCCTGAGACTTCAGAATGGCCATGTTGGGAACATCAATACCCTCCCTTGCTTCACCAGCCCAGACTTGCCACAGACATCCCAGCATGGCCCTGGCGCAATGAATTATACACCCCCCTGGGCCTGCCAGCCCCGGGAGACACTCCTTCTGCCCCAGGAGATAGGGTGTGACCCCAGGGCAGCAGGGAGGAAGTGCCAGGGTGGTAATAGCTGCTCACATGCTCTGAATGCCCCGGTGGAGTGCCGCAGGGAAGAGTGTGTGCCTAGGATAAGGAAGGATAAGGAGGCGACCCCGGGTTGGGAGCCGAGCACAGGCATCCCTGTCCTGACTCAGTTTCCTCCCCTTGCATGTGAGGAAGTCGGGTTGACTGAAGGGGCTTCTTCCTTCTCTTCTTTGTGAGGATGAGACATGAGGTAGTGGGGGTCTGGCTTAATTTAGAGATGAGTTGAGTTTTCTTTCCTTTTTTTTTTTTTTTGAGACGGAGTTTCGCTCTTGTTACCCAGGCTGGAGTGCAATGGCGCGATCTCGGCTCACCGCAACCTCCGCCTCCTGGGTTCAGGCAATTCTCCTGCCTCAGCCTCCTGAGTAGCTGGGATTACAGGCACGCGCCACCATGCCCAGCTAATTTTTTTTTTTTGTATTTTAGTAGAGACGGGGTTTCACCATGTTGACCAGGATGGTCTCGATCTCTTGACCTTGTGATCCGCCCGCCTCGGCCTCCCAAAGTGCTGGGATTACAGGCTTGAGCCACAGCGCCTGGCTTTTTTTTTTTTTTTTTTTGAGACGGAGTTTCGCTCTTGTTACCCAGGCTGGAGTGCAATGGCGCAATCTCGGCTCACCGCAACCTCCGCCTCCTGGGTTCAGGCAATTCTCCTGCTTCAGCCTCCTGAGTAGCTGGGATTACAGGCACGCGCCACCATGCCCAGCTGATTTTTTGTATTTTTAGTAGAGACGGGGTTTCACCATGTTGACCAGGATGGTCTCGATCTCTGGACCTCGTGATCCACCCGCCTCGGCCTCCCAAAGTGCTGGGATTACAGACTTGAGCCACCGCGCCCGGCCTTCTTTCCATTTTCTCTGCCCCTCCATCCCCCCACTTTGTGGTTCTATTTTCCTCTCTCTGTCCATCTCTTTCCACTTTCTCTGACTTGAGTCTCTTTCCCTCTGTCCCCATTTTTCCCATTTGTCCTTCAGCTCCCCTGCAACTGATGCCCCACCACTGCTCAAGTCTCCAGATTGCTGTCTCCTCCCCGCCCACAACCATCCTCCTCGCCTCCACCAGCAACCTCAGGCTCCCCGCAACCCCACAGTACTACGAGCTCAGGGCCACCCATCCACTGGCTGCTACAAGACAGGAGACCAAACCTTTTTGTAGGTGACATCACAGAATACTGTTCCTCCTTTCCTTCAGTCCCCACCCTTCCCCATAGACAGCTTGGTGGCTGCTGGAGGCCAGCTGGACTGTGAAGTCGAACTCTAAGTCCTGCCCCCACTTGCCGAGGTTGTCAGGGAATCCTGCAGGTGCCAGATGGCCAGTGAGACAGCAGGTCACACTTCCCAGCAGATGTCACCAAGATCACCCGGTCTTGTGGGCAGGTGGGCTGTGAGGTTTTCCAGAGAGACAGATTAAAGATACCTCTACTCTCCACGTCCCCAGGAAGGAGGGCTCCATCCCCACCCCATCCCAGGGCTTCCTCTTCCATCCCCAGTCCCCTCTGGGATTTACGCCTCTGGCCCCCAGTTGTTCCTCACCCAAGACGGGCCAAATGGATGTTCTCATAGACCTGGATTTCAGGTTTGAACTGAGGAATCGAGGCACCTGGGGAGAAGGAGCCATCGGGGGTGCAGAAGAGAAGTCAGCAGACGACTTAGAGCCGTGTTCCTTGCCCACCCCCAGAGGAGGAGGGGTACAGAGGCAGGGTACAAGCCTAGGCCTTTGCCTCATACCCACATGCTCTCTTCTTCCCTCAGGGAGGGAGGGACTCACCTCTGCCTGGAGCCCCATGGACCCTCTGCCTCCAGAGCACGATGCTGAGGGCCAAGATGATGATTCCCTGGCCCATTGTGAGCAGTAGCATCAGAATCCAAGGCATGTCCCAGCCTGTGGAAGGGGCACAGAGGGCAGGAGAGGCATCCATGGAGGCTGTAGTAAGGGCCAGACCTGAGGGATGGGAGGGAGGCAGTGAGGGGGCCTGTCCCTGTTCCCCAAAAACAGGCTTTCCCTCTGTAGTCTGGTGGGTTCCTCCAACAGAACTTTGTAAGTTTCCCTGCCTGCAGTATCCTCCACACTACTCTGCCCCTTTCCAGGCCTCTCACCCTCACCCCAGGGCTAACAAATAGAGAATGGCAGTCGGGCGTGGTGGCTCATGCCTTTAGGAGGCAAAGGTAGGCGGATCATTTGAGGTTAGGAGTTCAAGACCAGCCTGGTCAACATATGATGAAACCCTGTCTCTACTAAAAATATAAAAATTGGGGGTGGTGGCTCACACCTATAATCCCAGCACTTTGGGAGGCCGAGGCTGGAGGATCACCTGAGGTCAGGAGTTTGAGACCAGCCTGACCAACATGGAGAAACCCCGTCTCTACTAAAAATACAAAATCAGCTGGGCGTGGTGGCACATGCTTGTAATCCCAGCTACTTGGGAGGCTGAGGCAGGAGAACAGCTTGAACCTGGGAGGTGGCAGAGGTTGCAGTGAACCGAGATCACACCATTGCACTCCAGCCCTGTCTCTACTAAAAATACAATTTTTTAATTTTAATTTAATTTTTATTGAGATGGAATTTCACTCTTGTTGCCCATGCTGGAGTGCGTGGGATGATCTCAGCTCACTGCAACCTCCAACTCCTGGGTTCAAGAGATCCTCCTGCCTCAGCCTCCCGAGTAGCTGGGATTACAGGTATGCACCACCACACCCAGCTAATTTTTTATTTTTAGTAGAGACAGGATTTCTCCATGTTGGTCAGGCTGGTCTTGAACTCCTGACCTCAGGTGATCCAGCCACCTTGGCCTCCAAAAGTCCTGGGATTACAGATATGAGCCACAGAACCCAGCCTAATAATAAAATAAAATAAAAAATAGAGAATGGGATCCCATCCTGTCAACTAAAAAAAAAAAAAAAAGAGAATGGAATGCCCCCTGCTCACACATGGGCAGCCAAATACAGAGCAGACCACCAGCCATAACTACACTTTCCCCTCACACCCTTCATAGTAATTCACCCTCTCAAGAAAAAATAGCCAGGTGTGGTAGCTTATGCCTGTAACCCCAACACTTTGGAAGGTCAAGGCAGGAGAATCATTTGAGGCTAGCAGTTTGAAACCAGACTGGGCAACATAATGAGACCCTGTCTCTACAAAAAATTTAAAAATTAGGGCCAGGTGTGGTGGTTCACGCCTGTAATCCCAGCACTTTGGGAGACCAAGGCGGGCAGATCACTGGAGGTCAGGAGTTCAAGACCAGCCTGGTCAAAATGGTGAAACCTCATCTCTACTAAAAATACAAAAAATTAGGCCAGGGGTGGTGGCTCAAGCCTGTAATCCCAGCACTTTGGGAGGCCGAGGCGGGTGGATCACAAGGTCAAGAGATCTAGACCATCCTGGTCAACACGGTGAAACCCCGTCTCTACTAAAAATACAAACAAAACTAGCTGGGCATGGTGGTGCGTGCCTGTAATCCCAGCTACTCAGGAGGCTGAGGCAGGAGAATTGCCTGAACCCAGGAGACGGAGGTTGCGGTGAGCCGAGATCGTGCCATTGCACTCCAGCCTGGGTAACAAGAGCGAAATTCCATCTCAAAAACAAAAAAAAACAAAACAAAAAAACCCAAAAAATTAGCCAGTCATGGTGGCAGGCACCTGTAATCCCAACTACTTGGGAGGCTGAGGTGGAAGAACTTCCCTTTCCATCTCCTGCCTCAGTTTACCTCCCAGGCTAAAGCTGACTCCTTTGTTGTGAGTCACGAGGCAGCGGATGATTCTTGATCTTCGGCTCCTGGACTCAGGAAGCCCCTCCCCAGGACACACCAAGAGCAGGGCAGCCTCGTTGCCCCAGAAGGACTGAACACGGCCCCTCACGGGACCCTTCCCTTCCATCCAGGTCACAGAGTCCATGCGTCTGGTAGGGACCACAGAGCACACAAGGACATTGCAGGGGGATCCGTCTGCAGCCTTTGCAGATAACTGGGATCCTGTGCGGGAGAGAAGGACCCCTCAGTTCTTCGCCTGGACTTCCTAGCCCACAGTGGCCCCTGGTCTGCATGCCCCCACTCACCTTTGAGCACCAAGACGTCGTACACCCTCCAGTTCTGATAGTTGTGGTGCTGACCCAGCACAGCACACCAGTACCGCCCAGCGTCTTCCTCCTTGGAGCTCTCCAGCCACAAAGAATAGTTCCCCAGCAGTTTGAGCCTGGATTCCCTTCCTAGTTTTCCAGGGTCTGGGGCTGGCCTGCCCAGTTGGACTTGGGCTACCAGGGTGGTTAAGGAGCCTGCTCCAGGGCTGCGGAACCAAGACAGATGTCCATCCCCATGTACAGTGGGTGGTGAGGGACATGGCAGCTCCATTGCCTCCCCCGAGGCCACATAGATGGCCTGGATGTTGTCTGTGGGAAGAGGGTTGTATGAGGCCAGAGACCTCCATCAGATCAACAACCCCTCATTTGATCTTCAACCCTGGCTTCTTCCCCTTCTGGGGTCCCCCAGCATGGACCCGGCTGGTGACCACATTTCTCAAGTGACAGCTACAAAAATAAGACAGGTGGGGAGAAGAGGTTAAGGGCTTTCCTCCCCTCCCCGCCGGCCAGTAAGGGAGTCTGAGGGCAAGAGGGAAAAGGCTGGAAGACTTAGCAAATGCCCATATCTCTTCTATTCATTTCTACTTTTCTGGAAGCATTTACTCATTCTACATATTTTATAAAGGAAACTGCATAACCTGGACCCTCCTTGCCTCTGGATCTTCCCTAGTGTCAGAGGCAGGAGGAGGTCAGTTGGAGTAATTCTATCTTCAAGTCAGATGCCTTCTCCAGGCTCCTAGGAGAAAGAGCAGCAGTCCTTCCCCACCTTGCAAATAGCTAAGGAATTCCCTACCTTTTGCCCCTTACCTGCAGCAGCCTGGGAAGTTTCACATAGGAGCAGGAGGAGGAATAGGACCGCCATGGGGAGAGCCTGCCAAGTTCTCTTGCTCCAAGACCTGGTATCTCCAGAGAGGAAGCAGAGTCCAGATAAAGGTCCACACTCGCGGGTCTGGGCTGACATGGGCCTCTGGAGGGGATGGGAATGCTGGGGAGATAAAGCCCAGCTGCATGTCTGCTAGAGAAAAAGTGACCATCACCTTTCTGTCCTGGAGGGAAAAGGACCCGGTCCAGGACACTCTGAAGATGACCTTTCTGCTCTTCTGATTCCATATCAGCTAAAAGGCTCAAGTAACAACTTTCCATGCAGGGAAGTGGTCCTGCCTGTTTGGCTCCTGTCAGTCTAGAAGTACATTCTGAGGTCTCTTTCACTCATAAGAAATGTCAGCCATGAGTTGGGCAGATCACTTCAGGTCAGGTTCGAGACCAGCCTGACTAACATGGCAAAACCCTGTCTCTACAAAAAATACAAAAATTAGACTTGTGTGGTGACATGTGCCTGTAATCCCAGCTACTCAGGAGGCTGAGAGGCACCAGAATTGCTTGAACCCAGGAGGTGGAGGCTGCAGTGAGCCAAGATCATGCTACTGCACTCCAGGCTGGGTGACAGAGCAAGACTTTCTCTCAAAAAAAAAAAGAAGACGAAGAAAAGAAATGTCAGCCATGAGTGAAGAAACTGAGTTTTCATGTTGGTCCTCCATAGAACCCAGCACAAGACTGTATCCAGTCAATGTCCTATAAATAATTTGGAATGACTTTCCCTGTGGTTGTCTGGCATACGGTAGACCTCTCCTGAACTCCTGAGGAGTGCATTATTACTCATGGAGAAGGCTAACATGAACTGATTCATCTTTCTGAATGGCAAAAACTTTTTTTTTTTTTTTTTGAGACGAAGTCTCTCTCAGGCTGGAATGCAGTTGCACGATCTTGGCTCACTGCAACCTCTGCCGCCTGGGTTCAAGCAATCCTCCTGCCTCAGCCTCCCAAGTAGCTGGGAATATAGGCATGCACCACCATGCCCATATAATTTTTGTATTTTTTAGTAGAAAAAGTGTTTGTTTCACCATATTGGACAGGCTGGTCTCAAACTCCTGACCTCATGATCCCCCCACCTCAGCCTCCTAAAGTGCTGGGATTACAGGTGTAAACTACCACACTCAGCTAGCAAAAACTCTAAGGCAGATCATCATGCAGTTATTATAGTTTTAACATGTAATTTATTTATTTTAAAAATTATTTTGACAAAATATTTCATACATACCAAAAACTATACGAAGTACAGCTATATAATGGATAAACTGTGGTATATTAACACAGTGGAACACTGATCAGCAATGAGAATGAACAAACCCAGTGACTTGCAACGAGGTTGAATCTCGGCCGGGCATGGTGGCTTACGCCTGTAATCCAAGCACTTTGGAGGCCAAGGCGGGCGGATCACCTGAGGTGGGGAGTTCAAGACCAGTCTCACCAACATGATGAAGCCTCGTCTTTATTTTTTTTTTAAAAAAGGTTGAATCTCACAACATAGTGAGAGTAAAAGAAGAGTGAGACTCCGTCTCAAAAAAAAAAAAATATAAAAAAGTCAGATATAAGTCAGGTGCAGTGACTGGCCAGGCGAGGTGACTCACACCTGTGATCCCAGCACTTTGGGAGGCCAAGGCAGGTGGATCATTTGAGGTCAGGAGTTAGAGGACCAGCCTGGCCAACATGGTGAAACCCCATCTTCACTAAAAATACACACACACAAAATTAGCTGAGTGCATTGGTGGGTGCCTGCAAGCCCAGCTACTTGAGAAGCTGAGGCAGGAGAATCGTTTCAACCTGGGAGGCTGGGATTGCAGTCAGCTGAGATCATGCCCCACTGCACTCCAACCTGGGCCACAGAAGGAGACTTTATCTTTTTTTTTTTTTTTTTTTTTGAGACGGAGTTTCGCTCTTGTTACCCAGGCTGGAGTGCAATGGTGCGATATCGGCTCACCGCAACCCCCTCTCAGGTTCAGGCAATTCTCCTGCCTAAGCCTCCTGAGTAGCTGGGATTACAGGCACGCGCCACCATGCCCAGCTAATTTTTTGTATTTTTAGTAGAGACGGGGTTTCACCATGTTGACCAGGATGGTCTCGATCTCTTGACCTCGTGATCCACCCGCCTCGGCCTCCCAAAGTGCTGGGATTACAGGCTTGAGCCACCGCGCCCGGCCTTTTTTTTTTTTTTTTTTTTTTTTTTTTTTTTTTTTGAGACGGCGTCTTGCTCTGTCTCAAAAAGGCTGATTGGTAGTGGCTCAGTCTCAGCTCAGTGCAACCTCCACCTCCTGGGTTCAAGTGGTTCTTCTGCCTCAGCCTCCTGAGTAGCTGGGTCTACAGGTGGACACCATAACACCTAACATCCGGCTAATTTTTGTGTTTTTAGTAGAAACGGGGTTTCACCATATTGGCCAGGCTGGTCTCGAGCTTTTGACCTCGTGATCCACCCGCCTCAGCCTCCCAAAGTGCTGGGATTACAGACATGAGCCACCACGCCCGGCTGAGACTCTGTCTTTCTTTCTTTTCTTTTTTTTTTTTTTTTTGAGACGGAGTTTCGCTCTTGTTACCCAGGCTGGAGTGCAATGGCGCCATCTCGGCTCACCGCAACCTCCGCCTCCTGGGTTCAAGCAATTCTCCTGCCTCAGCCTCCTTAGTAGCTGGGATTACAGGCACGTGCCACCATGCCCAGCTAATTTTTTGTATTTTTAGTAGAGACGGGGTTTCACCATGTTGACCAGGATGGTCTCGATCTCTCGACCTTGTGATCCACCCGCCTCGGCCTCCCAAAGTGCTGGGATTACAGGTTTGAGCCACTGTGCCCGGCAAGACTCTGTCTTAAAAAAAATAAAGTTAAAACCAGAAAGAGGCCAGGCGCAGTGGCTCAAGCCTGTAATCCCAGCACTTTAGGGAGGCCGAGGCGGTGGATCACGAGGTTAAGAGATCGAGACCATCCTGGTCAACAAGGTGAAATCATGTCTCTACTAAAAATACAAAAAATTAGCTGGGCATGGTGGCGCGTGCCTGTAATCCCAGCCTACTCAGGAGGCTGAGGCAGGAGAATTGCCTGAACCCAGGAGGCGGAGGTTGCGGTGAGCTGAGATCGCGCCATTGCACTCCAGCCTGGGTAACAAGAGCGAAACTCCTCCGCCTCAAGAAAAAGAAAAAGAAAAAGAAAAAAAAAACCAAAAAACAAAAAACAGAAAGAAATAGAATATTCCAGGACCAGGACAGGCACAGTGGTTCATACCTGTAATCCCAGCACTCTGTGAAGCCAAAGCAGGAGGATCACTTGAGCCCAGGAGTTCGAGACCAGCCGGGGCAACATGATGAGACCTCATAAAATTAGCTAAGTGTGGTGGCACCAGACTGTAGTCCCAGCTACTTGGGAAGCTGAGGCGGGAGGATGCTTGAGCCCAACAGGTGGAGGATCAGGGCAGTGAGCCATGATTATGCCACTGTGCTCAGTCCGAGAAAGAGCTAGACCCTGTCGAGAGAGAGAGAGAGAGAGAGAGAGAGAGAGAGAGAGAGAGAGAGAGAGAGAGAGAGAGAGAGAGAGAGAGAGAGAGAGAGAAGAATACTCCATTTCAGTCAGAGATCTATGCTATGTAACCACTATTCTGAATTTTCTCTTTCTCCTCCACTTGCTCTTGCTTTATCATTAAATTTTATGTGTTTTTGAATCTAATATAATGGTATGCATTCTTCTGTGACTTTCTATTTTCACCCAGCATCACGGTTTTGAGATTCAGTTCACGCATAAGAGTAGTGATTCACTTATTTTCTTTTTACAAGTATTCCACGTATCTTACCATCCTTTTTTTGGGGGGGGGGCAGAGTTTCACTCTTGTTGACCAGGCTGGAGTGCAATGGTACCTATCTCAGCTCACCACAACCTCCAATCCAGCCTTCAAGCAATTCTGCCTCAGACTCCCAAGTAGCTGGGATTACAGGCATAAGCTACCACGCCCGGCTAATTTTTGTATTTTTAGTAGGGACAGCGTTTCTCCATGTTGGTCAGGCTGGTCTCAAGACTCCTGACCTCAGGTGATCCACCTGCCTTGGCCTCCCAAAATGCTGTTATTACAGGCATGAGCCACTGTACCGCGCCCTGCCAATGCTGAATTGTCATATTTAGGACTATGGTGTAGCTTTCCATTTATTGAAAATCTTTTCGTTTACTTCTTTCTTTCTTTTTTTTTTTTTTTTTCCCTAAAGCTACAGCACCCTGTATTCCCGTGCGGTCTCCCATCCAAGCACTAACCAGGCCTGACCCTGCTTAGCTTCCAAGATCAGACAAGATACTTTTCTTTTTTTTACTTTTACTTTTTCTTTTCTTTTCTTTTCTTTTTTTTTTTTTTTTTTTTTGAGACGGAGTTTCGCTCTTGTTACCCAGGCTGGAGTGCAATGGCGCGATCTCAGCTCACCGCAACCTCCGCCTCCTGGGTTCAGGCAATTCTCCTGCCTCAGCCTCCTGAGTAGCTGGGACTACAGGCACGTGCCACCATGCCCAGGTGATTTTTTGTATTTTTAGTAGAGGCGGGGTTTCACCATGTTGGCCAGGATGGTCTCAGTCTCCTAACCTTGTGATCCACCCGCCTCGGCCTCCCAAAGTGCTGGGATTACAGGCTTGAGCCACCGCGCCCAGCTTTTTTTTACTTTTTCTAGTTATTATTTTGAGACAGGGTCTGGCTCTGTCATCCAGGTTGGAGTGCGTGGCGCTATCTCATCTCTTCGGCTCAAGCAACCCACCTCGGCCTCCCGAGGAGCTGGGACTGCAGGTGCACACCACCACACCCCGCGGGGTCTTCCACCCCCCCCAACCCCCACCCCCGGTTAGTATTTTGTGTAGAGATCAGGTCTCACTATGTTGCCTGGGCTGGAACTCCTGGACGCAAGCGATCCTCCCTCCGCCACCGAAAGTTGGAATTACAGGCGTGAGACACCGTGCTGGGCCACTTTACATTTATTTATTTCCTCTTCTTCTTCTTCCTTCATCTTTGT